GGCAAATCCCTAGAACAAAGGCAATCACAACCGGCTAGGACCAAGAGCCACGGTCTTGGCTCGGGGCGTGACAGAATGATTATCATTCACGCCCTAAACAGAATAAACCAAAAATCATAGAGGATGTCTTTTTTTCCCATCTTACCATATTTAAACTCCATCCTTTCCAATCCTGTATAATGTCGCTAAATGAAAAATCCAGCACCGCTAATTTTGGTAGATGCAAATTGGTCATCCAAAGAGACAAATCGCTTCCAACGACACTCCACCGAAGCCATCTTACTTCAGAAAAGAGTTTGTTAGAGTCTCCGCTTGAAGCTGCCCGCATCAAGTCATGGAACCGCGGGTTCTGCAAGTTTTAAATTGTTCATCTGTGTACATCTAGATATAGCAAAGGAATTTGACGAGACAAAAAATGACCGAATCCTTTCAATTCCTAGTATATCAAATCAATCCATTGAGGGCATGAATGATAACTATTTTATTCCTAAGAACAATTTCTGGCCAGAAATATATTTTTTTATTTTTATTCTCTGGACGAGTTCATGAGCAGAGAAATGTGTTTGATAACGACACAAAATTTCTGTTCCCGGAATAAAAATTCGTTTGATAACGGCATAAAATTCTTATTTCCTAGAACTTGAAAAAGAGGAAGAATGTCCGATCTCTCTATGCGAATGTCCGATCACAGAGTTACAAGGAACATATAGGTGTTTATGAATAACTCCTAGGCTGCGTTTGGTTGTTCGGATTTGGATTGGGATAGGACGGGATAAAGTAGAATTAAAAATCCCCTAAATATCCTCTGAATTGTACAAAATCCTATTATATGTTTAGTGTAACCTGGATTGAAAATTTTTAAAAATCTTTAAAAATCCTCCAAAATATTTTTCTCTAATCATCTTCGTACCTCCTCCACTCTTCACGCCTTCACTATTTCGCTAACGACCGGAGGAAGCTCCTCTCTCCCAAGCCGTGACATTTTAGTCTCACGTTCTTATTCCCAGTAACACTCATACACACAGTGGCGACCCCTCAAAATTGTCAAGTTAGTCTTGAACAAGCTTGATCTTGTGATGCTTTGTTTTGGCGCAACCCATCGTTGCCAACGCAATAGAGAGTGAAGATTGTGTATATATGCAATCGAGACCTATACTCATAGGCGTGAAAAATCTAGACCAGAATCAAAACCTTTATCACTAGTCAAAGCGAAGCGGAGTGGATTACAGGGATTTTTTAGAGCTTTCTTGTCTTCGTGTGGTGGTGGGTGAGTCAGAGTGTGAACAGAGCATAAACAAGCCGAAGATGAAGAGGGAGAGAGATGAAGAGAAGAGAGGGCAAAAGTCGCAAGGATAGTAGAAGATTTTGCCAATATTCCGAAATTTAGTTTTCTATTTTTTTTAAAAAGAATTCCAAATTTACATATCATATTCGAGTCTATCCCACCCCCTAGGTGGGATTTTTTTATTCGGACTATATCCGAGCTATATCCGGTCTTATCCGAATTTCGCGTCACTCCAAACACCGAATATGATAAAAGTTATTCTATCCGGAATTTTATCTAGCCCACCAAACGCAGCCCTAAGGTTGTAATACTCTAAGATAGAGATGAATGCTAAATGCACTTCATAAAAAGGAATGACTAGACGAAATGGCTTGGCGCTGTGAGCCGGTCCGATGATGAACCGATCAAGTCACCGCACCACATCCATAGAACCAATTTGGGAAACTCATTTGTTTCGGCAAAAGTACACCATAAGTGCCACAACTTGTGTACGGAGATCACTTTGGTGCCATAACTTTTTTTCGGATCACTTTGGTGCCAACTTTTTTGAAAAATGATCATTTTAGTGCCAATGCTGACGTGGCTCGCCAGAAATCCGATGTGGCGCTGACACGGCTCGCCGGAGAGGTCCACGGCTCGCCGGAGAGGTCCAGTCAGCATTAAAAATCAAAAACGACGCCATTTAGCCCGCTGACGTGTACTTTTTTTAAAAAAATTAAATTATATTTATTTATAAAAAAAAAAGGTTGTAGCAGCGGCGAGGAGCCCTCGCCGCCGCGCTAACTCCACCGCCGTGCTGGCGAGTCGGCTCGCCGGATCCCACCACCGCCGGGCGAGTGGTCGCCGGGCCCGACGGTGGTCGGCCGACCTCGCCGGATCCGCCCCGGCCGGGCGCAGGTGAGGGTCGCCGGGCCCCAACCAGGGGCCGGTGACCCTCGCCGACCACTGCGCCCACCACCACAAGCCCTTCCCGGCGGTGGTGGGTTGGCGGCAGCAACAGCGAGGGCTCCCTCGCCGCTGCTGCAACCTTTTTTTTTATAATTATTATTATTTTTCTAAAAATTAAAAAATTCGAACAAAAAAAAAGCCACATAATTTCCACGTGTACAAGTCAGACCATTTTTTTTTAATATAAATGCCAGGTCAACTTTTTGACCGGAATTTTGGCCGAAGTCACTAAAGTGATCTATTTTCCTCCGACTTGGCACCAAAGTGATCCGAAAAAAAGTTATGGCACCAAAGTGATCACCGTACACAAGTTATGGCACTTATAGTGTACTTTAGCCCATTTGTTTCCAAATCTTAGAAAATTGATTTTTGTAAACTCCCACGGATCTAGAATCCAAGAAAATCCCTAATTCATGAGGCGCTACAAAATTGATACTTTGGTTGATGTGATCGTCACGTAAAAAAGGCCCATTGATCAAGGATATGCTTTTTTTTGTCTCATAAAAGAAAAGGAAAATGATGATCTAACAGAAAAGCTAAATCCCCTTGGTCATTTTGCTCAATTGGTAATTATAGAGAGTTACCTCTCCATCTCTCCCGTTCATGATCTCATTAAACATCTTTATAACCCCTCAAGTACCATGTCATCATTCTATTAGTAACTTCTTTTGACTTAGGTAATAACCTTTTTCAATCCATATTGAAAAGAATATTTTGAATATATAATACAGGGAAGAAAACATACCATGACACTAAAAAAAAGTATATATCTACTCTATCGAGTATCTTATATATTCATTTACATGTTTATTCATTCAAGAAATCATGTATCAATTTATATTTATATAAGTAAAGTTTTTGTTCATAAAATTCCAGGTAACATGCCAACTTAACCTTAGATTTAGTAGATTTGAGAATAATCCCCAAAATGAAGCCAGGGAAAATTGTTAAAAAAAAGTCATAGACCTAATGTACTTTTGCCAATTCAATCATAAACCTTTTAATTGTGCCATCGCCCGAACTGGCGAAGGTGGCCCCCGCTTGAGGCTGGTGGTCATAGGCCATCGACAAAACTCGATGATGGCCAGCAGAGGGAAAAAGAAAAAAGAAAAAAAAAAGAGAAAACGAAAAAAAAAAAGAAAAAAGTAAAGAAGGAAAAGAGAAGGAAAAAAAAGGAAAAATATAAAAAAATATAAATATATTATTAAAAATTATTTACGTCAGCGCTGATCGTGCCCTATAAGGAAGAGGGAGAAAGCACGTGAGAGAGAGGGAGTAAGTAATAAGAAGAGTTTTTTTTTCTATTTCTTTTTTAGAAATCGAAAAGTAGAAAATTTTCATTTTTGTTCCAAATCTATTTTTGGGCTGAAAATTTGTCTTGAAAATAGAAAATTGAAATTGTGTTACCAAACGGATTTCTGTTCTAAACCGGGAACAGAAAAATAGAAAAATAAAGAAACATAATTGTTATCATGCGCATCCTAAGTCTCTAAGGACGCGAATAATAACCATTATGTTCCTAGGCCCAAATAAATTTTTCTATTTCTATTATATGGACGAGTTTCTGAGCAGAAAGTAGCGTTTGATAAGGACACAAAATTTCTATTTCCAGAATAGAAATTTGTTTGATAACGTCAATGTAGAATTCGTACATCAGCGGGTGACAGTGTGGCGAGCGACGGGCAAGGTGGCAAGGCGAGCGACTAGTGCCGACTTAGTTGTAGGCGAGGGCGAGCTTTGTGAAGAATTGTTATTTCTATTTCCATCCAGAAACAGAAAAATAGAAAATGTTGTCCTTTTTAAATCTTGGATTTACAAGATTTGTTATCCTTCTATCCTTCCAATGTATAAATATGCACATGTCAACTCACATTTAATTTACTAGAGTTAATTCTCATTGCGGGGTAAATTCACCATTCAAGAGCTCATCAAATGTTGTTGTGGTATAGCACGGAGACTAATCAGATCTTGCAATTAAATTAATGCGAAATTACTAGAGAAATAAAACAAAGAATAATAAAAAAAAAACACCGCAGATTTACATAATTCAGTCCGAAGTATGGTAGCTACTCCACGGCCCACTAATCAATCCACAGACTTATAATCACTCATATGATCGAGTATTTTCGAAACCTTGGCTCCGTTTATTTCACAAAAAATAACTTCCAGAAAAATGCTTTTCGGATTTTTTAGCGTTTGTTTCAGGAAAAATAAACTAGTCATGGAAAACATTTTCCTCCAATGAAAAAAACAAATTCAAAAGCGAGGACAATGGAAAACATTTTCCATATCTTCTTTGACTTCATTTGTTTTTCAAATAACACATTTTTCTTTTATTTTTTATTTTTAAAAAAATCGATTTTTTAATTTTTCATTTTTTTCCCTTTTCTTTTTTTTTGTTTTGGCTTCTTCCTCGGCCGGTCGCCAACCACGGCGGCGGCCGGCAACCGACCAAGGAAGAAGAAAAAAAAAAGAAGAGGAAAAAAATTAAAATAATTTAATAATTAAAAAAATCAAATTTTTTAGTAATTTTCCCTAGAAAATCAAATTGAATACCGAACGGCAGAAAATATTTTTCATGTCATTTTCAGGTTTTAACCGAATATCGGAAAATATTATCATTTGTTTAAAAAAATATCTTTTCAGAAAATATTTTTCACAGAGGTTACATTTTTAACTAAACGGACGGAGCCTAAATTATGGAGTGTTTTATTGTGCCTTTCGTCTTGGGTTCGTGGTGTAATTACAGTTTGGAGAAGGAATCGTTCGCCACCACAAAACACAGAGCACCAAGGCATCTTCCTTAAACACAGAACCGGCAGAACTCCGACCGAAGAAAGGAGATCAAGCACACCCCTGTCCCTCTCTCTCTCTCTCGATCGCTTCATAGCAATTTGGCACTCGGTCGACAGGCTTGGTCGGACTAGCTGAGAAAGGAGCAGAGACATGGCGATTAAAGCACCGCCCATCACCGGGCTGAGCATGGCCTCCCTGCGTCCTGCTGCTTCGTCTTCCAATAGCAAGCCGTGCGCGCTCAGTGTCCCCCGGCTCAAGTCCTCTTTCCTCGTCAATCATGGAGGTAACCACCCCTTTTCATTTCTTGCCTCGTGCCTTTCTGGGTCGTTCTCAATTTCGAATTTTGATTGAGTTTTGAGCCTCTTCTTTGCGCTTGCTTTGGGAATACAAGAGAAGGGAAAACGGAGCGTTTTTGTGCTTGCTTTTTTTTTTTTCCCCTTATATGCTAATGTCCTCGGTTGTGCAATCGGCTGTCGCTTTCACTGTCATGGGACTTTCTCTGATCATATGAATTTTGCCTTCTCTGCTTGATTTTGTTTCATTATGCTTGTGATGCGGTGAACAGCCTTGCTTGATTGTTGAGATATTCATGCTGAGATTGTAATGGCCAAAATTGCAGCGCTCAGGACAACTGGGGTGAGAGTCGCCTTTTCCAACAGGTTGAGATGTAATGGCCATGGCGGAGGCTCCCTTGGCGCCAGCATGAACATTTTCGATCGATTCGCTAGAGTCATAAGGGTAAAATGCTAAATGCACTCTTGTTGTTCTGATGTCCTATTGCCGTGTTGATTTGGAGTGTGTTTTTTTACTTTTTTTGGGTGATGTCTAGTCATATGCGAATGCGATCATCAGTTCGTTTGAGGACCCCGAGAAGATCTTGGAACAAGCTGTACTTGAGATGAATGATGACTTGACAAAAATGCGTCAGGCCACAGCTCAGGTATGTCCGTTCGACTTGACTTCTTTGGAGGAAAGTGTTCTTTCTTTCTCCCTCTGAGTCACATTCCTTCCTCCCAATTCCAGCATCACTTACATAGTAGCAGAGTGCTGTTTTCACGTGGCCTACAAATGACCAGTCTACAAAAGTGTTTATTTACTCTATATACACACATGCTTTTTTGAAGGGAAGTATATCTAGTCTATTATAGGTTACTGGGATTCTGTGAAGAGAAATGGTACTTACTAAAATCTTGCCAATGGTTCTTCTCTTTCATGAAGGTCTTGGCATCTCAAAAGCAATTAGAAAACAAATATAAAGCGGCACAGCAAGCTTCTGATGAATGGTGGAGTTTTTCTTCCCAGCCTTGCTCTATCATCTATGCGGTTCTTCAAAGCTTTGCTCTTATAAGACGGTCTGTCTTTTTAGATGGTTTTATCATTGTGCTTCATTTGATGATAGGTACAGAAGAGCACAGCTGGCTCTTTCAAAAGGCGATGAGGACCTTGCACGAGAAGCACTTAAGCGCAGAAAGGCTTATGCTGTAAGTTCTTTCGGTCGAAGTGGAATTGGGTTTCACGAAATCATGAATGCTTAGTTGCATTGTACAGTTTCTGTAGCTATAAAAGCTGATTACATCTATGGTTAATGTTCATCGCTCCAGATAGTTGGGGTGGCAGCTCTTGATGAGTTCCTATCCTATTGGCAATTTTATGGAGAAAATGGGTGAAAGATAACAAATCAGATCATGCTCTGAAAATAGATTTGACATAGCCTTGTTTTTTTTTTTTTGGTGCTGTGTCTAGGATAATGCAGGTGCGCTGAGAGCTCAGCTTGATCAGCAGAAGACTGTTGTGGATAATCTTGTCTCAAATACACGGGTGAGTTACACTGTTGTACTATACATCTATACTTTGTCCCATCAGAAAGTGCTTGCAGCAAGTTTTAGAATTGCTTAAGCTGGCATACAAGGGTGAGTTATACTGTTGTACTATACATCTATACTTTGTCCCATCAGAAAGTGCTTGCGGCAAGCTTTAGAATTGCTTAAGCTGGCATACACAGATGCTAGTTGGACTTTCTCGGCTTTGTGTGTTGTCCAAGTCTTTGTCCACTCCATCAGCTTATGAATTTGCAACATATAGGGTGTATCTTGTCCTTTTGCTTAATTATTGTCTTTTAATTTATATGCTTGATAAGTTGTGGCACTACTTTAATAAGGGGTTCACCAAGCTATGTTATTGCTTCATGTTGAGTCTTTCACACAACTCAAGGTTTTTGTTCGTGTTCTAATGTGTCTAGTTAGGAAAAAGACTTATTTTGTGCGATACCCCTTAGTTTGCTTATGTGCAGGATTAAGACTAATCTTGAGCACTAACAGAGTTGCTGGTCTTTTACTTGTTTCTTGAATTGGTCTAAAGGAAGCATCTGTTATCCTATCCATAAATTCCAAATTGATTCACCAAGATTGTGTTTGAAAAAGTCTTTAATTTAAGTTCCCTAATTGCTTTTCTCACCACCAACTTGTCCAGCTATGCTGAGTTTAAATCAGCAAATGCTCGTTCATCCAGTTGCATTATATGTTTTGTGCTCTTAGCTCCAGATGATAGGTTTAATTAAGTTAAATTCTCTAATTTTCTTCATCAGCTTCTGGAAAGCAAGATCCAGGAGGCAAGGTCAAAGAAAGACACCCTTAGAGCACGCGCACAGTCAGCGAAGTTTGTCTCATCTCTTGCTCCAACTACTTTTATATCATCTCCCAACTTCATAGGATGAACAACGATGCTTTTGATTAAACTGCAGGACTGCAACCAGAGTCAGTGAGATGCTGGGGAATGTGAACACAAGCAGTGCTCTTGCGGCTTTTGAAAAGATGGAGGAAAAAGGTGGCCTTTTCAATTATTTGAGTGCCTCTCTTATGCACATGCTGATAATACGAGTCTTGTTTTACAATCAAAAGAATCTTGTCCTTCATCAGCTGGAATTTAACTGGAATGCATCTATGTTCAGCACATTTTCAACTGTTACGTTTGTTGAAGCACCATTCCGAAATTACCCTCTAATAATATATAAACCGTTTCTCATCAAAAGTCTCTGAATCAATTATGAAAATGAATGTGAGTTATATTTGCCTGCTGTGTAACACCAAATGATGCTCAACACTTTGGAGTTGGTGCATGATGTCCAAATACTGTAGATTCCAGAACAAGTACTGATATTTGGCATCCATTAGTGTGCCTACAGATCTATTCTACTGCTGTGCGTTAGAATTTACTTCTGATAAACTAAAAAGCCTGAGAACCATTTGAAATTTGAATACTTTGAACTCGTTTTAACCTTTCTGAAAATAGTTTCCTGGAAGTTGGTTGTATGACTTTCAAGCTGTAGTAGCTGGAGATCTCGCAGACTTTGAAAGTATGTAGAAATTACTCATGTTTTAGTAGCACACAACTCTTCAAATCAGATCTCTTGTTTTCTCTTTTTTTTTTGGTTTATGCTTTTTTGGGTCTTGTCAATTTCTTATGAGGTGCTCTCAACATAGGGAGAACCTACTTTACTTGAATACATGTTCATACATGGCGTATGAAGATGTGAAATACATGGCTAGTACTGGTGTAGACTTGCTCCTTTTCTCTCTTTGGTTGATAACTTGGCATACATGGATGTTTAGTTGGTGATATTGCTTGGCGGGTATAAGAGGAAAAATATGGAGCTCCAATTATCATTATAATATTATTAATCATAGCATTGGTTAGTAGGCTGATCGGTTTCTTATTGTGACAGTGTTGGCAATGGAGTCTCAAGCAGATGCACTTAATCAATTAACAACTGATGATCTTGAAGGAAAGGTAGCATTTCTTTCCTGCTCCATTCCTTCCTTTTGTCTTTCCTGCACAATCAAAATTTTTACAAGTCAATCGATGCAATTTGTAATGATATCAAAACTGTAAGTGAATATAGAATTGGAAATGACCAATGCCCTGTTTGATGTTTTAATTTCTCAGGTCCGGATTGACAGTGTTACTGATATTCCCTAATGAAGAGCTGTTTTTGGGCCGATGCAATGACTTGAATCTTCTCTGAAGTAGTGAATGATACTAAAATGGATTAATAGGATGAACAAAGAATTATTACATTTTCTTGAATAAGTCAAAAAGCTTATTAGACACATTGCGAAAGGCAGAGTTCAGATTTAGCTTTTCTTTTCAGTTTGTACTTTTTGGAAACTCAATCCTAATGTCAGGGAATAGTAGCATTTTACAAATTAGAATGCTTGCTCTGCTCGAGACACAAAAATTATGCTAAGCATATTTTTAGGTTTTGTTTTAAAACCAAGGCATAATTATCATATGCAGTAGTGCCATAAAGTACAATGAGAGGTACTCCTTGTACCGTGAAAGACGAACTAATGTTGGAGTTGTATATTATGAAGAGACAATAAAATAACTGCTTCACGGATATCATGTATCTGAATAACGAGTCTTATTATGGAACTCTTGTGTTCACCTTTGATCTACCATTCAAGGTTGAGATAGATGAATTCAGTGTTGCGTCTATCGGATAGAAGCTATTCGAGAATTTTTTTTCTTTTTGAGAAAACTCACTTTATGATTTTTCTTTTCCCAGTTCGCATTGTTAGAGAGTTCTTCTGTTGATGATGATCTTGCAAAGTTGAAGAAAGAGCTTTCCGGGGTGTCGAAGGTAACTGTCCGTGTTCTTGTTTCTTGTTTTGATGCTCTGACATATATACCAATTTTTCTTAGTTTACCAACAAAAGTTTTGCCCTCCACTTTGCTTACATTCCTGGGAAGATTCTCTACTCTAGTAGAAATCAGGATAAAAATTCAGCTCAAGTAAATAGGATTTCTGATACTTTTCTGATACATGAGTCGGCAACTGCATTGTGATTGAAGAGTGCTCTTAAAGCTTAGTTGGGACTCCATGCAAGTTTGATCGAGAACGCATTGTCTTTTTTAATGTTCTAATTTGCATCTATGTTTCGAAACAGAAAGGAGACCTTCCGCCTGGAAGAACCACAGTAGCAGCGAACTCTCCATTTCCCTTTCAAGACTCCGAAATCGAAAGGGAGTTGAATGAATTGAGGAGGAAAGCTAAAGAGTACTAGACACACACAGACACTTCTTTGTTCTTGCTTCAAGTACTTACCTGCCTCAATAGGTTAGCTCACTTTCTTCCTTGATGACGGAATATCTTCGTGCAATCGGAGCTCAAATTCGGGAATCTAGAGTTCATATGAAGTTCTTTTCCTACACGCGATGCTCGAGCGATCAGTGACATATTTAACATGAGAAAATGTGCATTTTGTTGCTCTCCTCTACTGTTGGTTTCCGCGGTATGCTCGAATTCGTCCCTAATGTACTATGGAGACGAAATTGAGGCTTGTGTAGCAGCTGCTTGAATGTGGAAGTACACACAACTGGCAAATGAATTTGCACTAGCTTGTGTTTATATAGTGATTTTGCTCGAGGTAAGGTTTAGCTGCGGACTTCTTTGACCAACCCATTTCAGCATTTGTGCTTTTATGCGCATTAAAACACTACATTACTTTCTTATTTATATGTATATTCAGGATTTGAATTATGCTATGATGAACCATAAGCTACAATTTAAACTGATCATTAGGCATTAAAAAATGTGAAAAGCATAACCATGATCTGCAATTGGAAAATGTATGGCCGGTCTAGTTGTTTTTTTTACTAAAAGAACTGTTTTAACACGAATTATCTAAATTGTCTGTATGATATTCTCACAATCACTAACGTTTGGGGTATTTTTTTTTTTAATCTGCTTTTAATTTCTATTTATGAATTTCCCCTTCAAACTTCCAAAATGAAAACGAAGTTTGTTAAATTTTTTAAGAAATCATGCATAGTTTTATATAAATCCACATAATGATATTTGAGTAGTTTGAATTGTTTTATGTATCTTTGGTTAAAACAAAAACATGAATACTATAAACATTTAATAACTTTTAAATTAAAAGAAGGGTCAATCCAATCACGTAAAATTTTGTCGAATTTTGGAATAATCATGAGATGACTATATATGAATTTGCATATCAATATGCGAATATTCTGAAACTTTTAAGTATCTCTTATTAAATAATAATATGAAAATTATAAATATATAAAGCTTTTAAAATTAAAAGTAGAGTCAATCTAGTCAAGTAAATTGTAAACCCAACGGCCTCTTTTCTATTGTTTTTTAAACGTGCCAATGTATGTGGACAAGGCTTTGCAATCATATTGATGGTATGATAATTATGCTCAATTCCTACTTTTTGGTGCAACGGTAAATTCATTTGCATATTCGGTTATTGTCGAATCCTTCAGCCCTGTCAAGATAGCACTGATTACGGTGAAAAGTTCTTACCGCTAATTGTCGTCGGTAAGGCAGTTTGTGTCGACCGAAGAAAGTTGAAAACATAATTGTCGGTCTAAATAACGGGCGTTTACTTAATTATGTAGACTAAAAATTGTAACATTCTCGAGAATGTGTGTAATAAGATGCGTAATTTATCATTTTGGCACGAAAATTGACAGAAGAAATTAAAATTGCTGTCAAAGTATGAGGGGGGTAAAAGTATGAAAACCGTAAAGTTTGGGGACTGAAAGTATAAATAAATATCCTAATTGTTCTCCTCCTCCTCCTCTTCCTCTTTTCTCTCTCTCTCTCTCTCTCTACAGCAAGACTCAGAAATGGCGACCGCCTCCGCCGCCCTCCTCCGCCTCTCCCTGCTCCGCCGCCCGCCGGCCCCAAACGCCCCGTCGAAGCCCCGCCACCTCCCGCCCTCCTCCCTCACCCCCTCCCTCCCCCCTTCCCTCAGCCTCGAGCCCCGCCGCCAACGCCCCCCCAGACCCGCCGCCGCCGCCGCCCGCATGTCCTACAGCCCGACTCCGGCCACCGACCGCCTCATCTCCGCCGCGGCCTACACCCTCCCCTTCTTCAACTCCCTCCAGTACGGCCGCTTCCTCTTCCTCAAGTACCCCTCCCTCTCCTTCCTCTTCGACCCGCTCCTCCCCCTCCTCTCCCTCTACAAGTCCGTCCCCTACGCCTCCTTCGTCGCCTTCTTCGCCCTCTACCTCGGCGTCGTCCGCAACCCTTCCTTCAGCCACTACGTCCGCTTCAACGCCATGCAGGCCGTCACCCTCGACGTCCTCCTCGTCCTCCCCCTCCTCCTCCAGCGGATCTTCAACCCGGGCCGGGCCGGACTCGGGTTCCGGGTCATGGTCTGGGGCCACAACGTGGTGTTCGTGTTCAGCGCCCTCTGCTTCCTCTACAGCCTCGCTTCCTCCATTCTGGGTCGGACCCCTTACTTGCCCTTCGTCGCCGACGCCGCCGGGAGGCAGCTCTAGTGGAACTGACGAGTGCTGCGGTGGAAGTTTTTGGTAGGCCCATTTGAATGAGTCTAGTGCTTAGCTGTTCCTTGTTTGCTTGCTCTGCTTTTGCGGGTCTTTCAATGACATGTACTTTAGCTGCTGAATGAGGTTCTGGTGGTTGTAATCGCATTGGCGTTTGGCAGTTGCATTTCTCTGGTAAAGCAGATGCGTCAAAGTTTTCTCTTCTGTCATTGTTTTTTGCTGACATGATTGAATACCCTGTCATGTATATTGGATTCCGATTCTCACCGGGTTCTCATATCAAGCTCGATTCGAGTTTACTGTTATCAAAACCTTGCTGTTGATCCCCTCACCTGAGATGTGAGTCCTTACTTTTAAGTTCCCTTAATTGATCGAGGGATGATTAATTGATTGCTTTAGCATGCCGAGCCTTCGAGCCTAACTGCATACAATGTGTTGAATATCAATGAGGCAGCTAAAGCAAATTGCTTGCCATTTCATCTGCAACGTGCACCTGACAACCCCCGCCACCACCGAAGACCAAGAAAAAAGCGAGAGGAAAGATTGTATATTTTGATTGGGAAGTCCATTGATAGTGGAGTTCAGAGTATTAGTTATCATGTGTACGGGCTTTATCTTGGTGTATCTTGCTATCCTTTATTAATCTTGGTACTTGTCAATTCTCATTCCATTGGTCTGAATTTTGGCAGCTGCTTTTTTTTTCGTTGTTGTGGCGGACCATGGAGCTGTCAAAGGAGCGGTTTGCCAATGATCTTGTCATGTACATGGAATTTTATATGAAGTTCGGCCCCCTTCTGTTTCTAGATGCTTTTCGCCCTTTCCCTAATTGGAGATTTACTTCTCTTCAAACTTTCCATTTGTTTAATCATAAAACAGGCTTTGTTCGTCGAGAAGTGCAAATTCTATTTTGGGTCATTTAGTTGTGTCTCAATTTCATTTGGCACAATTGAGAAACCTCTCGTCTCACTTCACCACTAAATTTCACTCATATGTGCCATTGAGTCCTCCATCTTCCCCAGTTTGTGTTAGTTCGGCTCAAAATTACGGTGAATCTTCCTCTATGATTGGACTTAGGCACCAAGCTTAGATGGTATAGTGTCTGTTTTTGGCATCCTCATCTTCTCTTCTTCATTCAGATAGCTGCTCGGTACAGTAGACTGGTTGAATGGATTCTGTAGCCATTTGGTCAGTGATCCACCGTTAAGTAAGGTTATCAAATTGGTGTTATGAAAGTTGCACGTAGGGAAGGTAATCTTCTGGAATTACTTAGAAAGGAGATTAATCTAGTGTGTTGTCTTCGGCGTCTGTTCACCAGTTTCAACTTCTTGATAAGTTGATCTTAAGTATCAGCATTTAATATGTGCCACAGCTGACAACCCGAAAAAGAGAGAGGATTAGAGCATGTGGTCAAGAAGTTTGAAGAGCTTAGTGTTAGTTCTTTGTTGGTTCTACTCGAGTTAATTTCTACAAGCGTATTGATTTCGAGAAGCTTCAATTAGAATGACACTGATATATTGTTTGCAACTGAATTCACATGGTTGATTCATAGGGATGATAGTGGAATACTGTGTGAAGAACATCGCTGCAGATTCAGCTGCACTCGTGACCGGACAGATTCTCTCATTGTCATGTACTTTGCTGTTTAGCTCAATCTGGGTTTACATCCAGAAGCTTCTCTGTTATTCCCCCCCTTCCCTCAATCTCCTTTGAGTTTCCTCTTGTATAATCTTGAAATACGGTGAATCTCGCGAGATGCCTCGTGCTCGGCTCGGCTCGGCTCGGCTCAGGCACCCATCTTACTTGGAGAGCCTACACACTCCGCATATTGTGGCATTCCAAGTAAGAATATGCAGGCATTCAGCCAATGCAAGGTGATTTGCCTCTCGTTGCTTCATTGGTATGAAGTTGTATCTGCAGAGTGAAACATCTGTTGATCAACGATGGATATCTGCAATGAAACCCAGTTCCATTCTTTTTCTGGGAGAAGCAAAGTAAGTTCATTGAGTCATTGACGTACTCATTGGGCCTCAATTTGGTACCATGTAGCATTGCTGCCTGTGCTATTTTGACCATATGACTTTAGCTCAGTGTCAATTCCTTCTTTTTTAAGCAGTTGATGATTGAGAAACGAAGATGAACAACTTCATGCCTAGGACAATGAAAAGATCATGATTCTTTTTGGCTCCTTCCCTTCAGAACATATGTTACTATCCTGCGGAGGTATGACACGAGCCCAAGGTTGAAGAGCTTCATTCCGAAAACTTTTTAGTACATACAAATGTTGACACGTAGATTCGTATAGTCGTCTTTTAGGTTACCTGATATCTTAATGGGCTTAGGAATTATATCTAAATGATGTTCGTCGACACAGTTCCAATCATATCAATGATTGAGATTCGCCGGACCAATGATGAATCAACATTAGGAAGTCTTACATGGTTCCTAGATGTCATATGGATACTTGAATTTAGTAGGCTAAGATCCTCAAATAATTTCTCAAAGATGAAATTCAGGATAGATTTATTTGGAATGACCTTTTCTTTTACTTTTTTTTTACTTAAGACTCTTCTAATATGAATTTCATTTAATACAAATTGCCTTAAATCTTCCAAAATGAACTAGATTTGCCATATACAATCATATATTATTTTCCATGAACTTCTAAAACTCAAATGTTATTTGAAACATCAAGGGTAAAGACTGTAAGTTACTTTCCGCTCAAAAAAGTCAAAGCAAACAAGGACAAAATTATCTGACCAAAAAAAAAACAGGGACAAAATTATATCCGATGAAATAAATTATTTTGCAAAAAAAAAAAACTATTGCATACACAAAGAAAAATTCAATACCTTGAACACCAAAACCTTGTTACTTAACAAACTAGAATATTAACCCGCACCTTGCTACGGGACCAAAAGGATTCAACAATCACAACATTTTAGTTTTCGTTATATTAAAAATTTTAGGGAAAATTTCAAATCAGCACCCAAAGTGGGGTCATTTTCTCGAAAAAGGGTCCAAAGTAGACATAGTGTCAAATAAGGGCCTGAAGTGCCCAATCAGTCTCAAATAGTGTCTCGAAGTGTCCAATTAGTCTCAAGTAAAGGCCTGGGTTTGTCGGCCGGTCAAATACTCACCGGTCAGCAAGCACGTCACTATTCCGGCGATCGGAATAAAAGCAATTTCGTCTTTTACTTTTAAAATTTGTTGTTGTTTCTTTTTTCCTTTTTCTTTTTTTTTTCTTTTTCTTTTTCCTTTTCCTTTTCTTCTTCTTTTTTTTTCCTCTTTTCCCTTCGTCGGCCATAGCCGTGGCCGCAGAGGCTGCCCTCGAGCGGAGTCCGCCCTCGCCGGCCGCCGAGCGAGGGTCGCCCTCACCTAGGCTTTGGCCGGGCGGCAAGGGCAAGGGTCGTCCTCACCTAGGCTGGGCTGGGCGGGCAAGGGAGGCGAGGGAAAAGAGGAAAAAAAAAAAGAAGAAGAAAAGGAAAAGGAAAAGAAAAAAACAGAAAAAGGAAAAAAGAAACAAAAAAATTTTAAAAAGTAAAAGACAAAATTGCCCTTATTCCGATCGCCGGAACAGTGACGTGCTTGCCGGGCTGCGAGCATTTGATCGCCCCGCGAACCTAGGCCCTTACTTGAGACTAATTGGACACTTCAAGTTCCTATTTGAGATTGATTGGGCACTTCAGGCCCTTATTTGACAATATATTCACTTTGGACCCTTTATTGAGAAAATAACCCTACTTTGGATACTGATTTGAAATTTTCCCAAAATTTTATATTGTAGCTTGAATTTTTATTTTATTTTTCAATATTTATAGTACTCTATAATTCTCGATTTATCTAATTTCTTTTTCAAAATAAATTTTAGAGGTTCTATTTATGTACATGACATAAATTTATTGACAAAAATCAGTAAAATGTAAACTAAACTCTAAGTGATCGGTTCTATTAGACTAGACCGGTCTAGGCCCAATCTGACCGGATCGGGAACCGATCACTCTTAATATTAATCCTTCTTTATAGTAAAAGAGATTTTTAGAAGGATATATCACATCAACAATTCTCTTTTGTCTTTTTCCTTTTCAACTTCGCTTCGCTAAATTTATATCAACTTTTACTTTTGCGCTTTGTAATCTTTCCTTTCTGTCACTTTTTTGTTCCATAAAATATCTTTTACTTTATTTTTCGAGCTACAATAATTCTTTTCTTTCGTCAAATATGAGTATGAGATAAGGTTACATAACTCAAAGTGCCAACTACAAATTGGACCTTGATAATTTGTATGTTTCTAAATGTCTATTTTAAGTTCCTAAACAAAATAAGTCTGCATTATTGATATAAATTATATGCATTTTATTTTATACATGATCGCAAAATTATTATTTGCAATTTACGTTTTCGCGGATTGAGTCATCGAAACAATGACGTCAACACAAGATATGTGTTAACATGCGACATCATTATAAAAAAAATATCCCTTTGTTATGGTGACGAAATATGAATGCCCTCTTGAAACTAATCATATTAACAAGTTTTTTGGCTTCAAATTTGATACGCATTCTTACATGTAAAAGGTAATTTTCAAGGTATTTTTTTCGTCATTGACTGATAGAAAGTTTTCAAGTATCTCGATGTACGTAAATAATGAATGATATGAAAAATATTTTCTTAAAAATAATTACTTACGTAGTTTGAAATAATTAATTAATGAAAAATATCGTCATTATCAACGTCTAAATATTTTCGTAAACGACTAAAATATTTTTTATTTATTCATTTTTCTAAGTGATATAACAATATCACGAAAAATCTTAAACCGGTACACCCGTGATAAATTTACCAAAACCTAATTTTTCGACCACAAAAAACCCCAAACCAGTACACCCATGACAAATTTACCAACCGTCAGTTTCTATCAAATTTTATACCAAATTGCTGAGTTGGATAGCATGTGTCAGTTAAACGGGCGTACCAGTTTGGGGTTTTACCATGTTTACCGATTCGTGATTTTTCGCGTCATTAATCCACTTTAACGGAGAGTAAATCAGTCACGAGCGTATCAGTTCGGGGGTTTTCGGTGGTCGAAAGATCAGTCCGGGATCAATTTATTACGGGCGTACCGGTTTGGGATTTTTGATAGTTCCCGGTAAATTTGTTACAGATATATCAGTTCGGAGTTTTTCGCGATACCAATTCAAAATTAAATTTTCAAACCATGCATTTTTCTAGGAACGAGAACTTAAAAAAAAAAAAAGAAAAAAAAAAAGCAAGCCTCAAAAGCACCTGCAGTCCCCGGCATCTCTCTCTCTCTCTCTTCCCCCGTCGCTCATATCTCTCTCCTCCTCCTCCTCCTCCAGAGAGCTTCGGCGACAACAGCAAAACCCTAATTTTCCCCCCATTTCCTTCCTTCCTCTCCCTCTCCCTCTGGCGTTTGGCTCCCGCGTCGCGCGCGGCCCGAGCTCGCAGCAGCGATGGACGCCATACGGAAGCAGCTGGACGTGCTCATGGGCGCCAACCGCAACGGCGACGTCCGCGAGGTCAACCGCAAGTACTACGACCGCGACGTCTGCCGCATGTTCCTCGTCGGCCTCTGCCCCCACGAGCTCTTCCAGCTCACGGTACAATACTAACCCCCACCCACCCCCTCTTCGATTCTCTCTCGCGCTCTGTTGTTGTTCTTCCTTTCCTTTCGCGGAGGTGCCTATGGTGGATCCGTCCCTTGTTGCGCTGCCGTTCGAGCGTTCCGGGTTTTATATGTTCTCTCTTGTCTTTCTTCCGTTTCAGAAAATGGACATGGGGCCTTGCCCGAAGGTCCACTCGCTTCAGCTCCGTAAAGAGTATCCTCTTTGCTCGTTCGTATGTCTTGCATTACGTGTTCTTGCGGCGCCCTTCTGCTTTGGCGTGTGTAAACGACAATGTTACGCGATTGACGTCGAGAGGGACGGGGAAGGGTAAGTGGGTATGGAAGTCCGAGTCTTGTTTCTTTCTGATATGTAGTTGTGGGTCTAGAGACCCTTCTTCCCCTTTTGGGCTGGGGTTTTAGGATCCCGCGCTAGGATTAGGTGATGAAGTTGCGTGGAAAGATACGATTTTCGGGTGATGCTGCTTCTTTTTCATTTTGTCGAACGCCACCGTTTGAAGAGGAAAGGGTCGGATGTTCTGGCCGCTAGAGCTTTCCGAGTTCTCTTGGCATTTGGTGTGCCTTAACGACTCGTTTCAGATACGAAGAAGCCAAAGGAAAAGGCGTCGATAATTATGACCGGGATTTGGAGGATGTCATAGACCGTCTCATCGTCGAGTGCGATAGAAAGATCGCTAGAGCTCTCAAGAGACTAGAGGAGGACGATGCGAAGGCTGCTATTGCCATCTCTGTGTCTGAGGTTACGCAGGTGCTGCTTCAATCTTCCAATTGGTATACTTGGTTTGCACGTCCTTGAAGTGGTTAACATTATGGTCTTAATAAAAATGCAGACACCCGAGATACTTGAGTTGTCAAAGCAGATCAAGGAGAAGCTTAATGAAGCTGACCAACATGGTTAGTTTAGCAAGCCTTCCTTGTCTTCTTGACTAGCATTCCTTATAATATGTCTGCTTTGACTGGAAATTCGTTGACATGGTGCATGGAAAACCGTAAATGATTGTTAATCGTCTTTCCTAGATACTTGCTCGAACCATGGTCTGGATTAGGCGGTAATTCTTGCAGGGATATAATGGACCCAAGATGTTAATAATCTTGAAGAGTTTTACTTCCTCCATGCTTCATTTGGTTCATGCATATTTGGAATTGGTAGTGCAGTATGCACTTACTCTCAATTTGCTTGCAGATCTTGAAGGCAAAACAGATCTCAAGATTCGAGCTTTGGAAATTGTTGAAGAACTCAGAACTAAAAGAGCGGACAAGCAGGTAAACTGTTGCTTCTTCAGCTTTTAGGCTTTGTTTGGGAGTGGGAGGTGGTGAAAATTAAGGTAATATACAAATTTTCCCTCCTCTCCGTTCTCACAAAGATCCGCACTTTCCACCTATTGTTGCATTTCCCCTATTTTCCCCCATTGCCCTAAAATACCAGTAGAGATGATCTTTGGTATGATATCACGCCTGAGAAATTTGAATACATTTTTATTTGGGCATAATTCCAAAAAAAAAGCACCAACTTTACCTTGAGTGACAAGTCTGGCCCGAATTTTTTTTTGTTTCATAAAAAATCATCAACTTTCACTTAAATCCTAAATTTGCCTGAACAATTTGAAAATTTCACTTCACGGAGGCTAGATTTGGGACTCTAGTTAAAGTTGATGTTTTTTAATGGGACAAAAAAAGTTCGGGCCAGAATTGTCACTCAAGGTAAGTTGGTACCTTTTTTTGGAATTAGTCCTTTTTATTTGGGATATAGGAATGTTAACAACATGACATTGGCAATAACTTATGCAATTAAGAACTGATTCCTGGTTCTGATGGTAATTTGATGAATGTGTTACTTGTATGTGGATTTTGACAGTCCATGCTTCTTTTGGATGCATTCAATAAAGACAGGGCATCTTTACCGCAACCTCTACCAAACCCACCACCTTTGGCCCCCTTGCCAGTAGTTGCTCCCGATCCTCGCACTCAAGAGATGATAAATGAGAAGCTGAAGAAAGCAGAGGATCTTGGTTAGTCTTGAAGCTATTGCTCGTTACATTTTTCTTTCAGATTTAAGATTTTGTTGCGGAAATTTTCTAAACGATACTTTGCTGCTAAGTATTGCGTTACCTTTTCATTTTTATCAGTTTGCATATTGAAGTGCATCTTTGTTTCATCTCGGTGTTTAATTTAAGATAGACCTATATGATTCAACTTTCAGTGCATAGCTTTGCTGCATCACTTCATGATCTTAATCCAATTCCATTAACTCAGGTGAGCAAGGTATGGTGGACGAAGCACAAAAAGCATTGGAAGAGGCTGAAGCCCTTAAAAAGGTTTTTCTCAAAATCTCTTTTCTGATTTTTTTATTTGTTTGACAGTTTTACCATATAACTGTTGTTATGTCTATATCCTTCAGTGAATTTAACAGTTCATTTTTTGCCTCAGCTGCATGCCAGACAGGAACCTGCACAGGATTCTACTAAGTACACTGCTGCAGATGTGCGAATTGTGAGTGCAATTTTATTGAAATCGAGTTGTTTATTTTTGTGATGCATTCCTTCTCTTTTGGATTGCATTGCAATAAGTACACTCTACTGTTGACCTACCCTGAAGCACTCAACAGATTGAATTGCTCGTGCACGAGAGACTGAAAGAAAATGAGCCTGACTTCTTGATATTCATTCATTACTCAAATTGCTTCATTAAAACTTCTGGCTCAATAGATTGGACCGGAACTAAGGAAATGTGATCAATTTGACAGCGTACCCTTAGCTACTACATGGTCCCCATTATCTTTCTATGCTTGTAAGTCTTGTATCTGCTAATTATTTGAACATTTTGAACACATCCAGAATTCTGTTCGGAGTTTTTATGACATGTCTAACCAGAAAAATTGAGGAAGTAAAGATTTTGTTACCTTGATGTCGTCTCTGTTGCTGTTGGGTCCGTGTCTGGTAAGGAATAAAAGTTAAATTTAGGCACATACATTTCGTATGATACTTTCTTACTGTTTGATAGTTGCTCCCTGTCCTCATGTTAAAAATAGAAAGAGTTCCAAGTTTCATTACACGGCATTATATGCATGCCTCTCTCCAATTTGTGCTCATCTTTTCAGAAGAATTACCCCAACTTGCTATTGGTGCTCCAATTCATTACCTGCTTTTTGGGCATCAATAGTTCACGCTGATTCATTTTGTTCATACTTCAACTAACGTACTAGTAACTGCATTCTTCAAATTTTTTTCAGACTGACCAGAAGCTACGTGTTTGTGACATTTGTGGAGCATTCCTCAGTGTCTATGACAGGTACTTATCTTGAGTTTTTACTAGTCCCTCTAGAATTCAGAGATTGTGCGTGGGAAACATAGAGTTGGTCTTTGGGTTTTAAGTGCTTCAGCTTTTGACCCGACAATTATCCCTCCTTGTCACCAGCAGGCTTTTGGGCCCAGTATTACGAGGATAACTTTTCCAGCTAAAGAATGTGCGTCTTTTTTTCTGTTTTATGCTTGTAGATCATGCTGTTAGCTAAGTTATCAGAAAACTGCACTATTCTTATTCTGTGAACTATCTAACCACTTTTGGTGTTAGATTAAGCAAATTATTTTGATGCCTCGTGTTATTTCAGCGACCGTCGTTTAGCGGATCACTTTGGCGGGAAGCTTCATTTGGGTTATATGCAAATTCGTGATAAATTGGCAGAGCTACAGGTGAGATAATTCTGGTTCTTGTCACATGACTTTTGTACTTCTGTTTGTCTTGTATTCTCTGCAATAGGAGATTAAAAAAAGATAGGTCCTCTTGAGCTTATTGGATCCATCATCACTTATTCGTTACTTCATCGAGCATAAATTTTCTTCCTAATGCACTAAGGACTTGTAGTGGTTGAACTGTTGTCAGATGACGGGCTTGATGAGCTTTAATTATGTGATGGTGTAGTGACCATCTCTGACTCTGATTTGGTTTTCACCTCATCCTGCCACTTGATAGTCTCTGTGTGACATTTGTTTAATTGATTTTAGTGGTGAGTCTGAGTGGCTCTTTATACTTTATTGTCAGGAAGAGAGAAACAAGAGCCGTAAGGTTGATCGCCATGATGACAGAAGGTATGTTCCGGTATTCCATCAGCTGGCTGACCTATGTGAGTGTGTGGGTTTTTCTTTTTTATGTCAGATGAATATCCTAAGCAAATATACTTTCTTTGTGCAGATCAAAAGAAAGGAGTAAGGATCGTGATAGGGAATTAAGTAAGGATCGAGAACAAGTGGACAGTCGTGATAGAGGGAAGGATTATGATCGTAGGAGTCGGGATCGTGATAGGTACCATGAGAGAGATCGTGGATATGAAAGGGAACGTGACCGAGATATAGAGCGTACCCGCAGCTATGACTCCAGAAGTCGTCGCAGATCACGATCAAGGTCGCAGGAACGTTCTAGGGATTATGACCGCCACAGGTACATTTGTTTCCGTGTAAAAGGAAACAAAATTTGGTTCTATTGCTCCAATCTTTATCTTTCAATTCGTGTTCAGCTTTTAGTGCATATATTTTTCGGGATGAATCAAACATCATGTTTATGCGTGGATCTATGGAATGAAAAGATGGGTTTTCACTAGGTTCAGGAGGTTAGCCTCTCGCCTGCTGAAGAATTGCTCGTATGAAGAGTTTGGGACTATAAAGGGGTCGTGCAACTATGCTTTAGTGACTCATCATCTTTCATTTCTTGGCTAATCAAGGGCATTGTTAGCTTCTCTGTTTGTTACCAGATATCAAATAGGGATTAGTGGGAACTGAGTGGTTTTGGTGGAGAGTCATATAGGTAATTTGTGGTCACAGATATTCGATTTGGGTACAAGTACTGGCGTCTGACTAATGTCCTCCTTTATCAATGATTGGGACTGGCTGGGAAGGAAATTCTTGCAAATTGTCTGAATAAAGGCCATTCTAGTGGGAGACACTGCTGCTTCTGTTGGATACGTAGTTTTATTTGTTGCTTGTGTGTTCCATAGTAAGATCGTTTCTAAGAGTGGCAGGTTGCAACCACAATATGGAAATGCAAGGGCAGTGACATTGGTTGTAGATCAGAGTGGATTGTGTCTAAATCTGACCTTAATGACTTGGTAGTAGAAACAGGAAATTGTTAACATGCCCCTTACAGGCATAGTTAAACTTTGTTTGACACGCTTTAAAATGTTTAAGGGTAACTTTTAATATTATAATATCTTCTGATGTGGTTTGATAATTTCGATGCCTTGAAGACATACATTCCTGTACTGAAGGTATGTTGAAAGATTGCCTTGAGACTTGAGATAACCTTTGAACAAAACCCTTAAGAATATTATCTTGTCTCTTACTATAGTTTGCAAGATTGTAGAACGTAGAAGAGATGAGATGAAATACAGAAGGGTGGAAATCCTTGATTTCTGGTTAAATCTGATGGAACCATTGCAAATAATTTTCTTGTTGGTGTCTATATGTTCTCTCTCTGCCTCGGATTCGGAAGTGTTGTTATCTCGAGTATAGTTAAATGACCATCTTTAAGTTCAATGCGAACTTATTTATGAACAGTATTTGTTTTAATGCACAGTGGTGAGTGTATTTCTTCTCTATTTTGATTACTTGGTGTTTCGATTTTCCTCAGGCGTCGTGACCGCTACTAGGAAATTATGGATATGAAGATGGAAATGATGTGGTTTCATAGAGATCACGAAACTCTTGTAGGACAAGCTTATCTATAACTGTTTGTTCCAAAAATGTTCTGACATGATCTTGGTTGCTTCATATGAAAGAGTCTTGGAGTTTATGCTTAGGAGGTATAGTTTTGGCTTGCTGTGTAACTTGTATTTTGTACTTAGATTTGCTGGTTGACCTCTGCATTTTCTTACTGGAAGTACCGTTACCCGAGTTTGCATCCTCGAGTTATGTTGCTCCTTTGAGCTTTAGACTGGATTGCTTATGTCTGTTTGTGCTCAATTTTAACCAATTGAGGGTTCAACTTTATATACGAAGTACACGCACAGTCGAGCTAATTTTTCCTGCAGCAACGTTAGAAGGTTAGAAGATGGAAATGGGTATTTCGGCCTTTGTCCTCAGGTTGCTTGTTAGATCATGTTCTTTTTGGCTTGTGATACTCAAGATAATGTTATGCGGTTACGAAGTGACGACCAGCGAATGCATCAAGCATGCCAATGTCGGTCGAATTGCGAGACGCTTATCAAATATGCTTTGTAAGATCCCATCAAATACCTGTAGTTAAACTTCTGTGAAAAGAATAGTGGGCTGCAATCAATGGACGTTTTGGGAACGGGGCGATTGATTAAAACTGTGAATTTAATAGCTGATAGAATCTGCCAAATTACTGGTTATAGCTGATAATTTCTATTGTGCACGTTTTGGATCCCTCAATTATTAATCTCATGATCCGTATTTATAGAGATTTTCTAATGACATATATAGAAAGACTTTTCTATATTGAAGTTACTTTCGATGTGGAAAAGTTGCTCGTTGAAGACTCAAATTTACTCATTACTAGGAAATTTACGTATCATATAGACAAATTACCAGTTATTGATATGCTCATAATTACTTAGGGTATCTTGTTGATACATTGATATTTGTTGCTCTTTTACACGAAAGTTAATAAGCGAAAGAGTTACCCAATTGGTATGTAAAGCAATGTTTCGACTTTCCAATACATGTTCTTAATGTAAAGGGTTATTATCACGAAATCCTCAAACTGGTACATTTGTGAAAAATTTATTTCAAATTAATTTTTTGACCATCAAAAATCTCAAACCAGTACACAAGTGATAAATTTACTCGACATTAAATTTTTTACCACCCAAAACTCTCAAACTGGTATATTTATGACAAATTTATCCTACGTTAAATTGGATTAATACTTCGAAAAATCATAAATCAGTACACATGTGACAAATAAGGATAAAACCCCAAACTGGTACACCCATCAATTTCTACGTGTCATTCAACTAAAAATTTTGATGGTAAAATTTAACGAAAAAAGAAAAATAAAATTGTCACAGGTATACCACTTTATTATTTTTGGTAAACAAATAATTAATTTGAAATAAATTTGTTGTAAATATATCAATTTGAGATTTTTCATAGTATTAACTCTAATGGAAAATCTATTATGTAGAGAGAGAAACCTCGGTCATGGTTGACAACACCTGCCAAAGACCCCTACATGGAAATAGCAAAAGTTCGATTGATTGCATTATTTCGTGCACTCTAGTTTTAGATAGACATTGGCCCCTTCTTTTCCTTCGATGGTGGAATCTTAGACAGGTCCAACTTTTCAAATCAATGATACCAGGAAAGACCAAGAGGAAGTGGGGGATATCCAGATTGATCTAGTTGGTGGGCACATAAGAAGTTCCACTTCTTGAAAACATTAAAACTAGAGAACACAGATAGCATCAAGAAACTACACCCGCCATTCCAAATTTAGAAGTCCCAGATCGACGTCTGAGCTTCGACTGGAGCAAGAGTCATGGCGATGCAGAAATAATTGGGGGGAACTCATTACAATGTTCAGGAACGGCCCATTATGTTGCATGTTACAACTACAGCTTGAATCAAAACTCTAGCCTTACGAAGAGTCGAAACACAAAAGTTCCAGATGAGGGTGGATGGTGGTGCCAAAACTCCCTCATTACCCCTGGAGATGGGCTTTGTCACAGCATCAAAGCTCGTCCTGCAACCAGTAGGAGACATGTAATGTACATCAGCAAGACTGCAACTTACATTTAGATGCGAGAGAGAGAAGCATCCCCAACTCGAGAGAAATCTTTTAGCAAAATGAAATCAGACGCAGGACGAGTATGTTTCAATGCAAGTCATTTGGTATCCAAGAACAGAAAATCGCAGAGAGGTTTGCTTACATGATAATCATCCAAGTAGTCACGGCGATCATGCTGCAAAAGAGAACTTCACAGTAAGAATAAACGAGCTTGGAAAAATGCAAGACGAGTGATGATAATGGAATGCATCCTTAGCAGGAAAAGTTCAAGAATCATTTTCTATCAGAAGATAAGCGACTTGAAAAGTAATCATTATCCTATGGAGAAAAGTAATCTCTTTTCTAGGTAAAACTACGTTAACGAGCTTCAACAGATTTCCGAGTTCATCACTACTCCAATATACCAAGAAACATGGGAGACAAGCAGAATCCAACGCGACGGTAAAGGCAAATTTAAAGGCTAAATTTAGTAGATGCCATTCTTGCCAGAGATATCTGGCCAAAGGAACTAAATAAAAGTCGATGCATCCAACGAAAAGAAATACAACCAAGAGAGAGAGTCGAGGATCTGGTATACAAACCCTTCTATATTTATCTCTGTATCTATCACGATATCGTCGATCATGACCCCTCTCGCGTCGTCTCCTTTCACCCTCCTCCCTTGCTCTTCGAGCTTCCTGCATATATAAGAGATCCACCACTTGAAGATCATCTCAAGAAATCCAAAATGAGGGACGAAACATATGATTAATAAATCGCTCCAATCACCTCTTCTTCTTGTGCTTTCCTCACTTTTTCTGCTTCTTCAAAGGCCTCCTTTTCAATCTAAAGTAAACAAGAGGAACACTTAAATTAGCTTACATCTTTTTAGTCTAGGAAATTGCTAAATGGAGTCAAAGAGCAGGACCAGACCTCTCGATTGGCGAATACTTCCTCCACCACTTGCTTCGCATATTCTGGATCATCACAAATCAAGATATTGTCGAATATTGAACCTGCCTTTACCTGCACACAAAACGCACATTAGTTCATTCTAATAGTCATGCATGTAGTTGTAGCTTCAAAAGGTGAAGCCCAAATATGTGTTCTTATCGAATCCTACCTGCCAAACCTCAATGCCTACATATTTTATTGGCTTCATCACATAAAGGTCAGGGTCATCCTCAAACTCTGCAGACAAGAACGTAACCCGTTTATTATCTAGCAATCTTCTCAGATCAACAGTTAAGATTTCTAACAGGAATTAATGCTGCAAAAAGACTCAGGCTCTAATGAGATGGTACCTGGATTGTCGATCCAAGGGATCTTCCATTTTCCCTTATAATTGGGATTCTTTATTTTCTGGAGCAAAGGAAAAAGATCAGAAGTTGCAACAGTGTATTGAATGTCAAGGTTCTGTTCATTTTAGTTACATATCGTCGCACCTTCCGCTTCCATGGTCCTTTAAAGGCCGGATTTGGTACTTTTGGTGGTTTCCATAATCCATCCTGTTCTTCATCCCAATTATCAGGCTAAAAGATATAGAGCTAACAAGTAAGCATCAGCAGTGGAAGTTCTATCAAGCGAAAAGCCAGAGAACTAAAGTAGCTGTCTCCTGATGCAGCTAAAATAACTGAAAAAGTGGATGCTACCATGTTCAAAGCATACTCTCTAACAAAAACAAACTAACCTCTTTAGCTTTTGGATCAGGAATCTCAGCAGGAATGGAATCATATCCCTGTATATGGTGAGAATAAAACTCAATAACTCATTAAAATTCTTGAGAAATTTCTGAAGGGACTCTTTATTGGTGGTTATCGAAACAGCCTACCTCGGGTTTGACTTCATTAGGGTCTTCAATGTATTCTCTGTCATCCCAGTCTGCAGGCTGTGATAGACAGCCAGTGAGGTCATGTTCATAAGAAATGAAATATGATAGAATTAATGTGATGAAAAGGTTTAAGCTACATCTTGCTGAGGCATCTACAACAACGACAGGAAGAAAATAAGTGAAACGACTTCAGACAGACAAAACATGATACAAAGTGACATATCAAATCATGGTTCAGGTCCAACTATCAAATATTTGAAGACCACAGCCTAAGAGCAGACCTTTTTAGCCTTGACATCTTTGATTTTCCGTGGAGGAAGGATATCCCAATCTGTATACATGCTTCCCGAATCTCTTTCTCGATTATCAACCAGAATGCTATAAGTAGCATCTGGCCTGAGGACGAATGTGTAAAAATGAGTCAACTTGTCCGTTTCACATTCCAAATCCTTCTTGATGGGGTAATTTTGTCCTTGGTAGGAAAGAATGACATGGAGTTTCTTTGTTTGGGTACCACATAAATCTGGTCCAAACATTAGGCTGAACACCCAAAATTGGAAAAAAAAAATGAAGATGAGTTAAATGGAATCTTTGCACAATAATTATGCTGGAAAAGGAAATAAAAAAACGAATATGAGCGTCACGAGGTGAGAGACAGACATCAAATATAATTAGAGTCCAGGGGAAGAAACTGGTTATAAGCATATAGCTGGAGAAGCCTAGAGATATAATGGTTATATCTTGGTCACGGGGTGAGCTTATTCTCTTTTAAGGTGTCATACTAGCTAGTCATGGCTTCAAGCAAGGGGGACATTTAATGTAGTGGAGTGCTTGAAAGTCCAATCAAATTATCGAGCCTTGATCGATCCTCGGATAGCATGGGCAGAGGAAACTTATCCTTGGAAATCTGTAACATAAGTGCCTAGGTAATTCCGTGTTGTCTATATTTCAGAACAGAACTTGATGATAAGAAAACCGTAACGGAAGATTCTCATAGAATCTTGATATGATAAACCAAAAACCAAAGGAGTTGCTTTTGCACGCACCAGACAGATGCCTTACTAGAAAATAGAACAAACCTGTAAGGAGTGTCCCCACCAAACTTCTTTTGATTGACAAATCCAGACAGAAGCTTTATGTAACCACCACCGCACTCGATATCTTGTTCAAACTTAATAGAGTATTGGAGAACCAAAGTCCTGTCCTTGTTGCTGAACTCTGGCAGCTTCGCGGACATCGCAGAGTGCGTCGCATCTTTAGTAGTCTGGACACCTGCAAGACGAAGAGATCGCAGAAGATCATATACACCAGCCAAGCATCAATTCTGGCACAAGAGATTGATTTAGACTTCATTTATCTGGCCAAATAGACCACGTGCACAACTTACAACTTGTCATGCATAAACGAAGGCCTTAGCAAGCAGTCGGGCCATAACCAAAGCAATTAGCTAACATCAAGAGAACTTCGAATTGTGAAACAAGATACGCTAAGGTTCCCAAGATTTGCGTGATTGAATATTTTGACAAAATAAAGACAGACAGAAATAATCTTATCAAGAAAAAAGGAAGGACGAAAACCTTTGTCGTCATGATCGCCAGGCCACTTTCCGGCCGTGTGCTTGAATGTCCCGGCCTTCCCTTCGCTCCTCTTCCAGTCGGATACCACCCAACGGCTCTTCCATCCATCTTCATTGCGAAAAAACCAAAAACATCATTCAAATTTTCAAACAGTATCAAAAACTACACGAAGCAATTAAGGAACTGAGGATCTTGGGACCAAGAGCGTCGACAGCATTAAAGAAGTAGATCGAATTACAGTGTCCGCGAGGAAGAAACTCTCCACCAACAAAATGGGTATAATGAATCGCATCTCTAGAAGCTTAAAAAAGCTCCCATGGACAACAACTAAGCCGACTTCGATCTCCCCACCACACAGTTTACTCATCGAAAAGCCAAGGAAAACACAAACAAAATAAGAGGCACAAAATTCAAGAAAAAGCATGGGGAAGAAACGGATCAACTAAGCTTAACATTCTCGACCGCCGCTTCAAGGGATTGTCCTCCCGAGCAAATTTGAGCACGCGGGTATCGAAAAAAACAACAAGCGCAGCAGCAGAAACACGCGGTAGCTCAGCAGGAACAGCAAGAAGAAAGGGAGCACGAAAGAGAGAGTACCCAGAAAGCGCTCCTCGAAGATGATCTCGGACAGGGCGAGGCGGGCGAGGGAGGCAAGGAGGAGGAGGACGGCGGCGATGCAGAGCAGCGGCGACGGCGGAAGGAGGAAGGGGTGCCTGCGCTCGCTCCCCGCCATTGATGGAGAGGCGCTGTGGTGGTGGAAGCTCGGGGGGACTTCTACTACTACTTCTGCTGCTTCCTTCCAGTGGCTTCGGCACTTCCCCACTTATTAAAAAGAGCCGGTCTTTCCTCTTCCGACCTCGCATTCCCTCTTATTCACGAAAATGCCACGCGGGCCCCCCCGACATTCGTGCCTGCTTTTTTTGTATTGTTTATAATCTCGAACCTTGTTTTTTTTGGGACACCTTTTGTTTCCGATTCCAATAATTACTATAATTAATTGGGCCATTCGTACGGTTAGCGCGTTTCGCGAAAAATAAACAATTTGAAAGGAAATATTTTTCTAAAGACGATTGCTTGTATCGCTTACAAAAATGAACATGTGAAAAATATTATCGTCGTCCGTGAAAACGTTTGGACATAAATTATCGTCCATCGCGAACATTTTCCACTGACTAATTATTTCAAACGATCATTTTTAGGGCGAAAAATATTATCATCGTCCATAAAAAAACGTTTAGACATGAATTATCATCCATCGTGAACATTTTCCACTAATTAATTATTTCGAACGATCATTTTTAGGGTAAGCAAATCATTCGATTTTCTCGAAACAAATAGAGCGGTAAAACGTTGCGACGTGCCCCATCAAAGTATCCGGCGTCTCTTATTTACCGGGTTTTGTATATCTTTTTTATGTATACATGCAGTCTCCCTCCACCAACTAGCTTAAATTTTTGGGTCGGACTTCCTAACACGATAGCTTATACGCTCTCCTCTACAACCTCGGGTAACATTGCACGTAGTTTCATCTTCCAGCCGACAAAGTTATGCATGTCCGGCATTAAACATTATCGAATCTGAAACTCTATATATCGAAACAAAAGACAACTCAAGGATGAGCGGAGTTGGAATTATAACAATAAAGGACATCAATATTAGACAAATTTAGTAAACTTTCTATACCAATTATGCATAGAGTTTCTCATCCGTGAATCGAGTAAAAAGAAACAAAATATGGCCACGCTGAACAAGTTGTACGCGTGATCCGACGGAATTTTATGATCCGTTCGCTTCGCCAAAAACGAATAATTTAAAAAGATAATAATTGGAATCTAAATAATTTCGTCACGTTCATTCACTTTTGATAAATGGCGTAATTAATTTTTTAGAAAAATGGTTTTCGCGTCATTCGTTTTCCCGGGAAATACATGTCGTGCCGTCTTGCGTTTGACTTTTTGACTCGACTTTGTTTTGGTCTTGATCCGTGGGAAAGGAGGGCGCCTCAGCCAATGGGAAGGAAGGGAGCACGTAGCGTCCACCAATCACGTCGCTCCGTTGTCTAGTCAAATCGAAGGCCGGTCGTCCTCCACTTCTCTCTCTCTCTTCCCTCATCCTTTAATTAATTCTCCCTTTCTTTTTTTTTTAAATATTTTTTTTTCTATTTTATCCAATACAGAATATACATTACTTCGAAATAGACATTGCCACGGTTCGGAACCGGGCGGTTTTGAGTTCGAATCCACCGGCAGGCGGTCAGGGTTAGGTTAATGGCAAATGTATGAGCTTCAGAAAGCACTAACGGATGTAGAGTCCTAAATCCAACCGCCGCCGGCTCCGATTCTAAGCTCCGTAACTGGCCAATATAAAAATTAAAAAAAATAAATTATGAAATAAAAAAATAATGAATTATCGAATTATGAAATAATGAATTATTCAATATAAAATGTAATCAAAATGTACATTGTAATCAAATTTGGGGAAAAAAAGAGAGAAAGAGATGGGGCTTGAACTTAAAATGTAATCAAAGTTTTTTTTTTTTTTGGGCCGGCGGTTCGGGCGGTTCCAAAATTGTTGGAGCAGGAACGGGCCCATAGGCCACGGGCGGTTCGGTTCGGCCCGCGATATGCTCTCCTAAGGAATAACTAATCATAATTACATAATTATTAGGCCGGTTCGGGCCAAAACCAGCCCGTGGCCATGTCTACTTCAAAGCTGCTATAAATCAGCACTATCTATCTTTGGCCGACATAAAAACAATTTGAATTAAAAAAGAAGGTTAAAAAAAAACAATTTCTTGGAAACAGACTGCGGTCGAATCGGCGTGGCAATTGTGCTTTTACAATTATGCCCTTGAACTACTCCTCTACCGGCCTCTACCGGCGTCAACGACTTTGCTATTTCGCCTGGCAATAGTTTTGGACTAGGAAACCTAGGTTTTCGAGGAAATGCTCGACATCTGAAGGATGCCATTTAGCACGGATGGGTCGTCATCAACCCTAGAACCACATATGTTTATGGTGGGAGATGGATGTATGCACATGTTATCAATTGTGTAGTCGGGAGGATTACTAATCTTGAACACTATCCTATAATATGTTGCTTTGAAGATAACAATCAAGAGAAAAAGTCCGAATATCAATTCTATAAATGACAAGCTCGGGGTACCAAACCCCGCAACAAATTATTCATAAATGAACTATACGAATCTCTAGAATACAAGTGTACGCTTTCCTTGACACCCATGACAATATTCAGGAGTGCTCATGAATCTTTTTTGATACTTTTCCCGTAAAAGCCCCCTCCCTCCCTCCCTCAGGCCTCTATTCTATCCTTCTTTATTTCATTTGTATCAACACCACCATGCACCGCAAGGGCATTTTTGTATTCTATGCTTCTTTTAAAGATCATAAATTGCACATAATTCACAATGAAATCGTAATCCGCATCCTTTCATACACATTACTAGTGGTATGCCTATGCATCATGGGATAAAATTACATTTCAATCAAAGAAGACAGCGCATTTTATTTAAAGATCACACATGCACATGATTCACGTTGATATCATAAAAGTAACCACGTGTATCAGTGAAATGATAATGTTTGGTTGAAAAAAATAACACATCAATTTTCGTAAAAGATCGGACATTGATTTAGATATAATGATACAAGCAATATTGCAGTCGTGCTTGGGCTCTAGCCGATTTGCAACTTTGTGTGGAGGAAAGACTTTCTGACTTCTAGCACACATATGCGATTGCCGCAACAAGTTCATCGACCTCGGATTTTCGAGCCGCGGGTGGAATGATTAGATATGTTACTAACTGGACATTTCGTATTGAGTATGGGACACTTATGATAGAGGAGTAGCTACTGCGGTGGCGTCTATTTTCTTCTAGATCCAGCTGCAGCTTCCAATATGGCTACCTTGGTACGACTTCACTCCGGTCAGTGGCCCCTGCCCTCGGCATATCCCTTCGTGCAATTAAGAACAATGAATCTATTTACGATGAACAGACCCAAAAAAAAAGTATTATTTGTAGTTGATTGTTTTGAAATGGGAAATTTTGACTTAACGTTGCCGTTTAGTATGTGAAACGAAGTTCATTGTTAACATCACGTAGTTGTGTATTTTATGAAGTACATAAGATGATATGATCAATGAAATTAGTGCGCTTGATTCATAGAGATCGAAGCAAGTTAAATTTAATATGATTTCATCACTCAATCTCGAACCCGATCCGACCCTCACAGGATTTACATGGGTTTCGGATTTCAAATCACGTGACGAGTCCGAATCCCGGTTTACATAGCGCAATGTCGCGAGTCGAAAATGGCACGGCATTTTATGCGTTTCACGAAGCATATCCACATTGAGAAATCGAGTATGTGCCTAAGATGACTTTCCAAGTAATTGCTCGTACTCCATTGAACCCAACAATTATGACATTGGCATCACCAAAAAGAAATCGCCACGTGTCCGCACACATTGCGGCGAGCGTAGCTCAAGGGGCGCAATCGTAAATCGCCGCCCGCCACGTCGGACGGATCGCCGGTTCGGGTCGGGCGACCCCCCGTGAGCGGGGGTCGGACGCGTGAATACGAGGGAAGGGGGAGGGCAAAATGGTCCGGGCGGAAGGACAGCAGCGAAGAGAGGAGACCTTGACTCTTCCCGTTGACTCCCCCGTGTCCAAGTCTACGGGGGGCGGACCCCACCCCATGTCCCATTCTTCTAGCCCCCCTTGTCTTGCCCCGAACCCAAAGCACACGCAGCTTGACCGCTGACCCGGATTTTCTCTCTCTACAAATAGTATTGTAGTGGAAGATCGAAATCCGATTGGTGAAAATTTTCGCCAAGATTTAAGGATCGAGAAATTGCACGACATTTTTCTAAGGAATAAGTGTGTCGGAAGTTTCCAGACCTGTCGCAAAGGTGCAAGTCCTCAGACTTGTCACGAGAGTGCAACTGATTCCTAAAACTTTCAGAAAGTGCAATCGAGTCCGGAAAAACTTGTCATGAAAGCGAAATCGAGTTCTACAACTTTCGAAAAGTGCAATCGAGGGATCGAACTTAATTGAACCAATTTGACAAGTTTTAGGACTTAATTGTACTTTCGCAACAAGTTTTAGGACTTAATGGCACCTTTTGAAAGTTTTGGGACTCAATTGTATTTTCGTGACAAGTTTTATAACTTTCAATGTACTTATCCCTTCTTTTTTTTTTTTTTAACTTCATTGGAGTATTGTGGCAACGCCTTCCTAATCCCAATGGTATCGACCATCTTCATGGTCCTAGGTTGTCCGTGTTTTTTCCTATTTACGTTTCTCCGTCTCGAGCCTTGCGGCAGTATAGATTTTGCGCCCCGACTGCTTGCTTTCGCTCTAATAAATGCAATGAGAATCGTAGGGTACATTTCAAATGCAAGGTGGAATCGACGGTACGTGAATCGTGTAAGGTTGTACGTGTTCCCGATATCGCCTGTAAGACGATCGGGAACGGTATAACCTGCGCCGGACAATGACTCCGACGAGTCGGCCTAGGAAACCACCATTTTGGAGAAGGAATCGAAGTCAACAACCGAACATAAGCACAACGTTTTTGCAAAGAGCTTAGCTCTGAGAAAACTGTCCAAAGCACAAGCCCATGGAACCCAACTCTCACCCCAGCGAGTCGCATGAAGCCCGTCAGGTTTTACAGGAATCATTTTTTTCTCACACCTTCGGCTTCATCGAAGTCTCGCAATACTCGGATTGGATTGCACACATTATCCCATGACGAAGAAGGACGGTCGAGTCAGGGCCTATGTTGATTATCGGGACTTAAATCGAGCTAGCCCGAAGAATGATTTCCTACTTCCACACATTGATGTCTTGGTGGATAGCATGATCGATTCTGAACTCTTCTCTTTTATGGACGGTTTCTCCGGCTACGACCAAATCAAGGAGGAAGGCAGAAGCAAAACCTCTAGGCAGGGCACACCTCCAACAAAATAGAAATCATCGGTATCATGTACAAATTTTCTCACTTCACTTCTTGTTAATTAATCATGGTAACGAGATGAATCGAGCTACTAGTAGCCCATCTAATTATTCGAGAGTATTCATGAAATCCTGAAGCTCTAGAAACTTCGAGACTTACTCGGTCATCTAATTTACTTTTTGTTAATTCTATCGTTCTTATTTCATCTGTATCAACACTACCATGCATCGTGAAGGGATTAATTTTTTTTAAAAATGTATTCTTCTTTTAATGTTCATGAAATGCATATAATTCCCCTTGAAATTAATCCTAACCCGCTTACTGTCGTACGCACTAGTGGTATACCTATGCATCATGGGACGAGCTTAAATTGTATTTGAAGAAGACCACATGTGGTTTTCAAGGTCGCACATGCATAAAATTCACGTCGAAATCATAAGCCACAACCTATGCATATGCACTACCTGCATGAATACCCACGAAGCAGTGAAATGGTAATGTTTAGTTGAAAAATGGCACATTTAAGTTTACGCGAAAGATCAAACATTTTATTAGATGTAAATGATGCAAACGGTGTCACAGTTTTGAACCGTCTCGTGTGTGAACTCTAGCCAATTTGCCACCTCTTGCGGAGAAAAGACTTTTTGACTTCTAGCGCACATGTATGATCGCTACAACAAGTTTATCAAATTCGTGAGCTGCAAGTAGGCCGGTTAAAACAGGTCATAAACTCATTTCTTAACTCATGTTTGATGGCTAGGTTGTCATATGGGTTAGTTATATCGAGTAAATGAATCATAAATGAATCTAGATTGTAAAGTCCAAAATAATATTGGTATCAAATGGGTTCATAACTTACTTATACTTGAGCAATCTTTATGACTCTTTTGTTTTGACTCGATTTTGCGCTCGGTCACTCTGCGCTCTCACATCAATTTATATATGAGTTTTCTTAGATTGAGTTTAATATGTAGCAATATAGGTCAGATCGGGTATGAATCATTATATTTGTATTGCACAGAAATTGATCAAATGGGTCAATTTGGGTCAAATCAATTTCGATTCGACCCAAACCAAACCGGACCTACCCATTTGATGGGTCTAGCCACATGTGGAATGAGCGGTCATGTCACCAACTGGACAACTTGTATTGGGTGTGGGATACTTGTGATAGAGAGGTAGCTACGGTGGCTGTCCCTCTTTACTCTTATCAATAGAAGAAGAAAAATATTAATTGCAGTTGATGGTTTTGAAATTGGAAATTTGAGTTAAAAACATTGTTTAGTATACGAAACAAAGTAAGTTTATTAGCATCAATGTGGTTATATAAATTCATAACACACATAAAGATGACATGATCAATCAAATTAGCACGCTTGATTCATCGAGATGAAGCATGTTGGATTTAATATCATTTTGTCGCTTTGCCTCGACCCCGATACGACCCTTTGTAGGATTTGAATGAGTTCTATGTTTCATATTAACAGACGAGTTTGAATCCCATTTACAACACAATCGAAATGTACTTAACATCTTATGCGTTTTTTTAAGTATATCTATATTTGGCTTCCGTTTATTTTGCGGAAAATGGATATTTGGAAACTATTTTTCAAAAAATAATCGCTTATACTCATCTGAAATAATTAGTCAGTGGAAATTCTTTTCATTATCGATAACAATTTATGTCTAAATATTTTCGTAAACGATGAGAATATTTTTCTCTAATTTATTTTTGTAAATAATGCAAGCGATCATTTTTAAAAAAATATTTTTTAAATTAGTGAGTGTGTGCTTATGCTACATGCAATAGGATGAGTACGCAAGTCACAAAAAGTTTATGCGACCTTCACGTAATTGCTCTTAATTCCATTGAACCAATAATTATGATATTTGGCTTTGGGGAGGAAATTACCACGGGTGCCCATACTTTGTGGTAAGTCTAAGTAGAGGTTGGGTAGAGTTCAAGGGTACAATCGTAAATCATTGGATGCCACGTCAGACGGATTGCAGTTTGGGCTAGTGACCAAAAAATGGGATGAGAAAAAGAAAAAAAAAAGAAATAACTACCAGGAAAGAAGGAGGGCAAAGTTCCAGGAAGGAGGACAGCATGCTCTTCAGTTGACTCTCCTTTCCAAGTCTCCAATTTTTCGATCAAATTCTTTCGTTAACTCCGTTCTTCATATAAAAATCCAAACATATTATTTATATTTTTCCATGTCAATGAGATCGATCAGGGCATCCACGTCATAACAAACTCGCCAATCTTTTTTTTTTTTTTTTTATCGTAGAATTGTAACCCATATCGAAGATTAGGAAAATTACTGAAAATAGGAATCGCAAATATAATAGAGGAAAAGAGAAAAGTTTCGAGACCATGAATTCAAAGCCCTTTTTCTTAACCTATTACCCTATGAAAGAGGAAACGGCGAGAACTTATACCAGAAAGATGTTTGGGAATGTTTCAAGAGGAGTTGAGAGTTTCAAATGAGGTGGATAGCCGATCGTGTCATGTAGAACGACGGTATACAATTAGACCTTCTACCAAGTCGCAAATGGAACCAATCTTTTTACTTTATACGGTCCCGATATGGCTTATCTAGAAAGCCTAGAGCATGGCCATGCTAGAAGAGGCGTCGAGACTATTCCATGAGGCCAATTTGGAGGAGCATTGGACACCATTCGTCCAAGGCCATGGAGCACTTGATTGTAGTATTGCTGTAGCTGAAGATGAAGGGTGGGGTCTGGATGTGAACATTACACATGCATTCCTGAAGCACTTCGAGGAAACTAAAAACCGCCGACGACGCTGCAAAGTTGTACAAGCTAGTGGGTGTCGACGTGATGATCTCCAAGGCGTAACAATGGGCGACGAGCTCTATAATTTGGGCGACAAGGTATGTGCGCCGCCATGACTACTGTGCATGGAGGGGGAAAAACGTAAGAAAAGTTTTAAATCTATTACATTGATGCCAATTTAGTCATAAATCTTCTTTTTTGTGCCAATTTAGTCCTAAACCTTTTGATATAGTGCCAATTCAGTCATTTCGATTAATTTTGGCCGGATATTGCTGATGTGGATGTCGGGCGACCTACGTGACACTGCTGGCGTTGACGTGGATAATTTTTAATAATATGATTCCTAGACCTATAATTTGTTCAATGTGGTCCCTGAACTTTTGGTACATGTTCAATTTAAACCCTAAACTTTAAAGAAAATATTCAATGTCGTCCTTCCATTAATTCAAGTTTAAACACAAACATTGAATATTTTCATATAATCCCATGGTTAAATTAAAAATGTACCAAAATTTCAAGTACCACATCGAATAAATTAAAAATTCAGGGATCATATTGCACATTAGGTCAAACTTCGTAGACTATTTGTGTCATTTTCCCATACACACGTATATAAAGTGACCATCTTCATGGTCCTAGGTTTGCATGCTTTTTGCAGGCCATTTTTCATTCGCCAAACTAATCGTGCGGCCCAACTTGGTGGGCTCGAGGCCCAACTCAGCTCCGCGAGTTTCGGCCCATCAAGCCCATTAGGGTTTTCGTATGGTTACATATAAACCATCATCCATCAGGGTTCCTCTCTCTCTTCGTCACTTCCCTCTCCCCGCTGCTCTGCAACCTCCCCTGGTGCTCCGGCCGTCAGAGCAACCATGGTAAGTACGCCTCCTCCTCCAGGAAGAGCTCATGATGCTTTTGTGCACTCCTAGTATGCGTGGTCGTGAAGATGTTGTGTATATGTAAAGTTGTGATCTTTCTTGTGTTTCGATCTCCTGAAGGATGATTGATGAGCGATCTGTTCGACGAATTTTCTATCTCGTGTTCTTCACGTGTGAGCTCGAGCTGTGGATCCCGGGATTCTGTTCTTTTGGTGTCTAAATGTCATGGGCCATCTTGTTCTTTGGCAGACGGGGACTTTGGTTCTACTGTGATGGTGGTGGAGATTCTTTATTTATCTTCCTGTTCTCGAGCCAGAGAAAAAAAAAATTGGGTCTTCGGTATTGCTTTGCGACTTAAAGGACCCAACAATGTTCAAAGCTGCATGTAGGCCTCAATTTACTGCTGCTGTGGTGTATGGATGCGGACATGCCCCGGGCTATAGACGGTGCTTGTTCCTTGGTGTTTTGAGATTAAATTTGCACGTGGCTCCTGTGAGTGTGGAATGTTGTGTATCTAGCAGCACATGATGGGATTTATTTAGACAAAGCTATCATGCAGTCCACTGCAGTGATGTGTAGATGTAGACATGCCCGAGTATAGATTGTGTTTAGCCCTTGCCTTTTTAAGTTTAAACCTGCATATGGGTCCTGTTTAGTGAGTCCAGCGCCATCAAATGTTATATATGTACGTGCTCGTGATAAAAAGGTTATGGTATTTGATATGGCTCCCCGTGCCCTCAGTTAGCGAATTTTGGCGCGTCAAATGTTGTATATCTAGGAGCACACGATGGGATTTATTTAGACAAAGCTATCATGCAGTCTACTGCAGTGATGTATAGATGTAGACATGCCCAGCTAGAGATTGTGTTTTGCTTGTGCCCTTTTAAGTTTAAAACCTGCATAAGGGTCCTGTTTAGTGAGTCCGGCGCAATCAAATGTTTATATGTATGTGCTCGTGATGAAAGGGTTATGGTATCTGATATGGCTCCCCATTCCATCAGAAAACTTGATTGTTTGCTTGCTTTTGGCTTTCACAAATTTGGTTAAATATATTTCTTCTTGTTCTTTGATGAATGGCCAAAAACTGCTCTCTTCATGGTTGTGTTGATTCTGTAGATTTGTACAGGCCTTTCTTTTTTTGTGCAAATTATTTGATATCTTTGATGCACCTGGAACTTAAATGTCCTTTTACAAATTTTGACAAACAGCCGAAGCAAATCCACGAGATCAAGGATTTTCTCCTCACTGCAAGGAGGAAGGATGCTCGGTCTGTCAAAATCAAGAGGAGCAAGGATGTTGTCAAGTTTAAGGTTCGCTGCTCCAAGTACCTGTACACGCTGTGTGTGTTCGACTCTGAGAAGGCCGATAAGTTGAAGCAATCCCTCCCTCCAGGTGCTTAACCGTGCTTGTACAATCTATAATATGTTCATGGCAAATGCATGAGAAGTTGGCTCGAGATGCCTCGTGGTGCACCTACCGACAGGATGTGATGACATGAGTTGCAACATTCTTCTTTTCATTCTCTGTGGCACCTTTGATGACCCACCCCTCGATTTGTTTTCATTTCTGTAGGTTTGAGCGTGCAAGACCTTTGAACGCATACGGGTTTGCGTTTCGCGGGAGAGCTCAGAGAATACCGAGGAATCGTGTTTTAAACCGTTTCGATCATTGTTTTTACGATTTTGACTGTTATATGGATTGCTCAGTGTAGTTCTATTCTAGACTGAATCAAGTTTTCGGTTTTGGCTTTTATCTGATCAATGGAAACTCCATTTGTTTTGCGCGGGGTGAAGCTATGCTTGGAAATTTTGTGGGAGGTTACTCGGGTTATTGAGTTTTGTGGTGCTATGCTTGCTTTGGAATTTTTTTGATTTCACCCGTGAACAAACATTTGATGGTGGAATACAAATAAAACATTTGATGGGGTTTAAAGGGATTCTTGATCAAGCAGTCATTGGTAAAATTCGAAACAAAAGTTGGTAGTTTCATCAAATGTTTACATGAACTCTTAACGATCAAATGCTGGTTGGTCAACTACTGGTCAGACTGCAACGTGATGATTTTCGAATACGAGTTATGAACATTCTAAATACTAAAGAGAGGATAGCGTTCGGCAGACGGTGGTGTTTGATGACATCTTTTTTCCTATATACGACCATTGCCGATTGAATAATACTGTACTTTGGAATGATCAAGAAGTCAGAAGAGAGCACAATTCCTTAGTATATGCTGCTGGGGGGCCCCGATTGTCCCCATCAGAGGAAGTTTATATGGTTTGCAAAAGCGGAAAGACGAACTTGTCACGGCTCCCGCGGTACGATTTTTGCATTACATGCAGATGAATGAAAGCGTGCATCCAAACCAGATAAAGATAAAAAGGAAGTAATTGAAACGAGGATGTAAAATGGTCAAAACAGAACAGAACCTACCCACGCCACGTGCGGGGTCTACCTGGAAGAAAGGTTGAAGAGAAGTGTCGTCTTGTTTCTACCATCTTTGTAGCTGCCCCTGTTGGCTCTGTAACTACCCTGTATACCTCTCTCTGTCCCGGGGCCAACTTCCACTTTCCTCTTCTCTGAACTTCGAAGGGACTGTTTGGTAGTCGAGTCTCTTTGAGTTTGGTGGGAGGAGACGAGGAGAGGGAGAGAGAGGGGGCATCGGATCGGTGTCATCATGTGGAGGGACAGAGTGTGCCCGTGCTTCTGGTTCGGGAACGGCAGCCGCCATGATCATGAAGCTTCTGAGGAGAGGAACCCGGTGTTGCTGGTGTCAGGGATGGGTGGCTCCATACTCCATTCCAAGAAGAAGGAGGACAACTGGCTGGGCTTCGATACCCGGGTCTGGGTCCGCATCCTCCTCGCGGACTTGGAGTTCAAGAACAAGCTCTGGTCCCTCTTCAACCCCTCCACTGGTCTCTCTCTCTCTGCAATCCGCATGCTTGGGATTCCACTTCCACACCCATTTGCATACTCGTGCGCGTGCGCAGTATTGTAGCTTCTGCTATTTGTTGCTGCTACTTCCCTCACCCCATCATTATCGATGCAGCATACCTGTACCTGTGTTGTTTGCCATGTTACTTGGTCTCACTCTCAGCAGTCTGTGACTTTCCACTTTGGAATCTGTGAGATGTTTTACCATGGATCCTCAAACTTGTCAATGGCCACAATGGCTTATCAGTAATCGATATTACGGAATATCTTTTATGTACTAGTGTACCTTGAAACACGTTTTGACCTTCTGGGTTGGTATGGTTTGCTTTTTCGAAAATTATTTAGTTATTGCAGATTAAGTATCAATTCGAATCATTCTTTTGTACATTGAAACTGAGTTCTGGTTCGAACCTGCTTTGCTCTTTCTGTACCCTGAAGTCGCTTTCGTGAGTAATTCAATTTGGATGTACTTTCTGAATAGAAGTTGACTCCTCAACTGATCATGTGTATAGATCTGATTTGTGTGCTTGGTTTGAGATAGAGCACCCCTCCTCGTGAAATAGCACCATGTTACGGATGCTTTCTACTTGAGAATGCTCCTGCTCATGGACGTTTCCTACGAATTTATTTCGTACTTGCAGAAGTTTCTCCGTCTTCTTTATATCTTTACGGCACATGCTGCCTACGTTGTCTATGGAATTTAAATCATCTGGTCTGACATGATCTGCTGTATCGGCATTTAGATGTATTGCCACTTTCCATGTCAATGTTGTTCATGGCATCAGATTTCCTCAATCACACACGATGATTTAATCCTTGACGAGCTTGTGCTTTTTGTCATCTTAAGGATTGAGCGAGTCATTGGACGATGATGTTGAAATTGTGGTTCCTGACGATGATTATGGGCTCTATGCGATCGACATACTAGACCCATCATGGGTGAGGCCCTAAGTCATTCTTCACTCTTTTGGTGGTTTGTCAGAGAAATATTTCGCTTCCGTTTATGCTGTTAATTCCGCAACATTTTACTACTAATGGAAATGTATTGATGAAAATTCTTCACATTTCAGTTTGTGAAACTTATGCATCTGAAAGAGGTATATCATTTTCATGATATGATCGACATGCTCGTGGGGATAGGGTATAAGAAAGGAACCACGTTGTTTGGATATGGTTATGATTTCCGGCAAAGTAATAGGTAATTCAGTTTTGTCTATTAGGTTGTTGAAAATCAAAGTTGGTATCTTGACTACTGCATTGTTAGCTAATTTATCAGCCATGTGCTCAAGTTTAAGTTTCTGATAACTGTGAACTCCATTATCTGCTGCATCATCGCAGAGCTAACAAGCTCCTAGAAGGTCTTCAATCAAAGTTGGAAACTGCTTACAAAGCTTCTGGAGGTAGAAAAGTTGACATAATTTCTCATTCAATGGGTGGATTGCTGGTGTCGTGTTTTCTGTCACTCCATCAAGACGTGAGTGTTCTATCATTAACTGCTGGAAGCATTTATTGGAGATTGTCTAGTTGCTTATGATATTGGATTATATGCGCAAAATTAGCAATAAGACTATAATTTAGTTGTTAATTGACAGGTCTTTTCAAAGTATGTAAGGAAGTGGATTTGTATTGCATGCCCTTTTCAAGGTAACTGCCTTTGGGCAAAGTTCCAGATTCATTCTATCATGACGCTCTAATGTCTGGAAAGATACTCAAAGAAGCGTAGATACAGGCTGTAACGTTCTCTATCTGATGGAGAACATCTGTTTCCTGATGCCAGGCTGATAGAGCGATCATGATTTTTCTGTTGGTTTGAGATTGGATGCTCTTCTTCTTTTGATCTTAAACTTTGCAACTTGCTCGTTATGTTCGTCAATTGGATCTTCAACTTCAAGTGCAATATGATATCTCTACTGTATTCCAACTGTTGAAGGCTAAATCATCTTGGTTCGGTCATTGCTTATGTAGTTTTTGAATAAAAAAGTTCCTCCGTGTGCTTAGCAGATTGTATTGCTCCTAAGGTTTCAGAGTGTCATCATTTTCTGTGATAGGTGCACCGGGATGCGTCAATGACTCTCTCTTAACCGGACTGCAATTTGTTGAGGGGTTTGAGAGCTACTTTTTTGTGTCTAGGTGGACAATGCACCAATTGGTAATTTCTCTATTCATCTCTCAAGGTCACTTAGCGCACATCCTACCGTTTGTGTGGAACTAGCATAAAGGAGGATGGAATACATACTGGCACGGATCTAGATACTTTCGTTAGTGGGTCAAAAAATTAATTAATGAATGATTACAAGAAAATCAAGTGTAGGTTTTGCTTTTCTAAAGCAAGTAGTTATTTAGCATTGCTTAAAAATCCTTAGTTCTTTCAAAACTTTAGAAAAAGGAGTGGGGCAAGTGCCCCCACTATGCAATAGTTGAGTCCATCCTGAATACATCTCCAGTCACTTTTATGCACTAAATGATGAAGGAAATTGCAAAAGTACGAGGGCTTCTACCTAAAACTGCGCAGAAACATGTGAGATGGATTTTACCAATTGTATAGCATGAGATGGTGTAGCAAGTCAGGTTGTGTTGTGTGAGTCACGGTTTGGAGTGGTACTCCTTTGTTAGCTGACTCCAACCTTTCTTTTGGCAACGCTCTTTTTCTCCTCTTGTAGTGCTAGCGTACATAACATGTGGAAGACTAGTGTACAAAAGCATATGGCTTCTCATATTTGTGCACAATTTAAGTCCATTTTTTAGTCCATTTGCACTTCACTCGTGGAAAGTTTTCAGTGCTTGGATTAGCTAACTCGATTATTCTATAAGAGAAGGTGGTTCACTGATCATGTTCGAGGGTCTGGCAGTTGTTTCTGCTTTTTGCTTGGTATGATCTTGTGCTCTCTTGCTAATAGTGCGTTCTATTTTGAATATAGTTGATTGAGTGTCCATCAATATATGAAATGATGGCAAACCCTGAGTTTGAGTGGGCGAACCAACCTAAGATTGAAGTCTGGCAAAAGCACTCTATTGACGGGGATGTTTCTGTCAACTTGGAGACCTATGGTCCCCTTGAAAGCGTCCCTCTATTTGAATCAGCATTGCGAAATAATGAGGTAGCATGCCCAAATTCTTTCTTGGTTACTTAGTTAGTCTGAACTCTTCTACAGAAGCAGGCATCTAGTTCAGTTTGGTGTCAACTTTTGCTCATCTTTTGATGCTAAAATTTAGCTGGTTCCTCTATTTGCTGAAAAAACTCAACAATCTTGAATTCCCATTAAGGGGCTCTTTGAAGTGGCGTTCAAGCAACTGGAGGTGAACAAAAAACATTCTATTTTGGCGTTTCTTCAGTTATACAGAAAGCAGGGTAACAAAAGGAATATATGCCAATGCCAGGCATTTTACGCAATCTTTAACCACTAAGGAGAACTTATTGATTGTATGTTTCCTGTTAACTAGATAAAAGCTGCCTCGACAGGTCTGTCCTCCTTTTCTACTAGCTGTATTCTTATCAATGAACCTCTCTGAAATCTCTTCTGAAATGTTTCCTGGAACCGCATGATAAGCTGTTTAAAGATGGATTTCAAATAAGCATGTGGAATGATTTTTTTTATTAAAATTTTTGTAATCCTCATTCCCCAGTTGAAAGTGTAAGCTTCTCTCCCCTTCACCCTTTTCTTGTCCGTGTCAAGGTCTTCTCATTGCTTCTTCTACGAAGTCTGAATTGCATTCTTTGTGGTTACAGCTAAATTACCAAGGACGGACAATACCCTTGCCCTTTAACCTCTCTATTCTTAAATGGACTGCTGAAACTCGCAGAATTATCAATGACATTAAACTTCCAAGTGAGGTTGAGTTCTATAACATCTATGGGACATCTCTGGACACACCTTTTGACGTTTGGTATGCAGCTTCTACTCTGTGTTTTGCAAGTTAATATTATGTTTTGGCGGAAGACATGATGACATGCTCCTGTGACAGTTATGGTTCAGAGGAATCCCCCATTGAGGACTTGTCTGAAATATGCCACACTTTGGTGAGTAGTCTTATATTATTATAAAACCTCTTCTGATTGGATGACATTCTCTTTGTTTGAACGACTTCCTTTGTTTGGTCATGATTAAATGAGTTGTTTAATAGCACTTCTTGGAATTGTTGATATTCTCCACCAAATTAAACTAGAATGACCACAGCTGCATTTGATGCTGACAACGGAGCGAGTTCTCGCTGAAGTTGACATTTTATTCGTCACATTACGTTGCAATATGCAGGAGATTTAGAACTTAGATGTGGACCTCAAAGTTGAGTCATGTCCGGATAATATTGGATTTTCAATTTTCTTTTAGGGTATTTGGCGTTTCATAAATTGATTTGCTTGGGTAGCAGGAGATGATGTCCTTCATTCTGACGCTGCCATTTCACAGCTGCTCCAGTTTCCCTTTAGGCTAATTTTATCCTCATGCTTCTCACGTACATATCTGATGCACTTTTCCATTCACTTTTCTTTTCTTGTTCTTGGCTCAAAGTTGCTATGGTTCATCTTGCAGCCCGAGTACTCTTATGTGGATGGAGATGGAACTGTCCCCGCAGAATCAGCTCGGGTATCTATTTGGCAAAGCTTTTTCTCCTTTTACCGTACTTTGAGATGATTTGCTGCAGTTTGATTTGTTGCCATGCACGGGAAGAGTGAATAGATATTTATTTTTAGGATGATTTTTTTTTGTCGAATTTTTCAAGATCCGGATCGTACTCCTTGTTCTGGCCATTATCCTGTTTGTTTATGTTCAATCTGTTAGTGGTTGTCCCAAATGCAACTCAAACAATCTATCTTGCATTATGATGTCATATGTTGCGACAGCGTGCGATACAAAAGTTTCCAGGTTTTCTCAAGCGAACTCTTAATCGACAGGCTGATGGACTCAAGGCAGTGGAGCGAGCGGGGGTTGCTGCTGGTCACCGACAATTACTACGCGACCCCACTGTCTTTCAACTCATCCAAAAATGGTTGGGATATGAGCAGGTCAGCTACCCCAAGCGCGTTAGGACTTCGAGAGTAATGGATTCTTCTTGAAGAGTATAGACATAGCATAGGAGTTGACTCGTACAGGAGAATTTGTTCTCCAAGTCTTTTCCTTTCTCTGGATATTGGAAACCGAAATGTGTATTCGCATTGTCGAAAATGTTAGATCCATCACCATTTGAATGTAAAAGAAATTCGATTTTATGATGATTAATCTGAAAGTTGATGTCCAGGATACTATCATCTCTGAACAGCACAGCACCAGGTAGTCAACAAAGAGAGAGTGTACATTTTAAAGCTGCATTCAATGACTATAAGCTTTAAATGAGGGAAAGTGGGTCGACTTAGCAGAAACAAAGCATCCAAAGAAGCAAAGAATACAACTTCGTGGGCAAAAGTACACCACAAGTGCCATAGCTTGTGTACGGCGATCGCTTTGGTGCCAAGTCGGAGGAAAAGAGATCACTTTAGTGCCAATTTGGCCGGAAATCCGACGTGGCATTTTTATTAATTTTTACGCCGACGTGGCTCGCAGAAGGCTGGTCGGCGATGTACGATCAGCATTTTTATTTTCAATAATTTTTTTCAGCGTGTACGATCAGCATTTTTAATTTTAAATATTTTTTTCCTTTTTTTTTCTTCTTCCTTTTTCTTTTCTTTACTTTTTTTTCTTTTCTCCCCTCGCCGGATGGTCGCCCGGCCACCGGCAAAGCCCGGGAAGGGCTGGGCGAGGGCGGCCTTGCCCATGGCCGGCGAGGGACGGCCGACCTCGCCGGCGACAAGCGAGGCCGGCCCAGGCGAGGTTGCCCTCGCCGGATCCGGCGAGGGCGACCCTCGCCGGCGTTAGGTGAGGAAGCCCTCGCACAGGCGGCGCGGGTCGCCCTTGCCCGGCCGCCGGCGTCGGGCGACCCTCGCCGGCGTCGGGCGAGGAAGCCCTCGCTGGGCGGGCAAGGGTTGCCCTCGCCTGAGTCGGGCGTGGGCGACCCTCGCTCGACGCCACAAGGGCTTCCTTCGCCCGACGCCGGCGAGGGTCGCTCGACGCCGGCGAGGGTCGCCCTCGCGGATCCGGCGAGGGTGACCCTCGCCCGCCCTCGCCGAGATCCGGCGAGGGCGACGCCTCCCGCCCGGGCGAGGGCTTCCTTCGCTGGCCGCGCCCTCGCCGGCGTTAGGCGAAGCAGCTCTCGCTGGGCCGGCGAGGGCCGGCCTCGCCTTGTCGCCGGCGAGGGTCGGCCGCCCCTCGCCGGCCATGGGCAAGGCCGCCCTCGCCCGACCCTTCCCGGGCTTTGCCGGTGGTTGATCGGCCACCGGCAACCGGCGGCGAGGGGAGAAAAGAAAAAAGAAAAGAAAAGAAAAAGGAAAGAAGAAAAAAAAAAGGAAAAAAATATTTAAAATTAAAAATGCTGACTGTACACGCTAAAAAAATTATTTAAAATTAAAAATGCTGACTGTACACGCTGACTCAGCCTCCGGCAAGCCACGTCGGTGTAAAAAATTAATAAAAAATGTCACGTCGGATTTCCGGCCAAATTAGCACTAAAGTGATCTCTTTTTCTCCGACTTGGTACCAAAGTGATCTGAAAAAAAGTTATGGCACCAAAGTGATCGCCGTACACAAGTTATGGCACTTGTGGTGTACTTTTGCCCAACTTCGTGTGTAATTTTGTTGCCCGTGATTCAAAGATTTAGCCAAAAGGCAAGAGAAAAAAGAAGGAAAAAGCAAAGTAAGATCCATATGATGAGTGACCAACGATAGAGTTATAATAACTCAACACATTTATTGTTTCCATATGTCAAAGTGAGTATGTCTGATCAACATGCTCGTTTTTAGGACTATACAACAACATCGACGCGGGTGCAATGTCATAAGCCATTTTCCTTACAGTCAAGTTATACTTGTCGACGCTAGAAAGAGAAAGAAAGAAGACTTAAACTGAATCCCCTAGCAGGGTTTAGAACGAAATTGGCAAATACTTCAATTTTTACTGCTCTGTCTACTTCTGCACCGTCATGGACATTTTTACCGATCATTTGTGTTTAGCCTTAACACCTCATTTTCTCGGCCCAACAAGCCACATTGCTATTGAAACAAAAGCAGATGGATTAGAGGTATTCACGTGTGTTAGAAATATGATAACGAGGGTAGAATTGTAATATTGTATTTAGAGGGTTTTACGTTATGTTAAGCATATATATTGTAATTCCTTCATTGAAAAACATAATAGAAACAATTCATTATCCTCTCAAACATGGTATCAGAGCTTCGCTCTTAACCCTAATCCACTTGCCGCCGTCGTCTAGCTGCCGGAACCGTCGGCCATCGTCGCCGCCACGGCGGGCTCCACCTTCACGCGACCCTCGTGTGCGCGATCGTCGCGCTCTGCTTGCGCGAACCTAACGCTCGCGTGTTGCTCGTGCGACACTACTCGCTGTCTCTGCTTGCACTGCCTCGCCATCGCTGACTATGGTTGCTGGATTCTTCGTGTCCCCATGAATTAATCTGATCCATCTGTCACCAGGTCTGTAATCTTTTGGCCAACACATGAATACCTGAAGTCGCTTTTGTTAAAGTATTGCACTGGATGTCGCTAGATGTTGTGGGTGTCGGATGTTGTGGTGCACTGAGGAAACTTGTCGGCAATGATAGAGTTTGGAATTAAGAGGGTTTCTTCCTCTCTTTTTGAGATTCATGGGTACTGTGCTGAAGTGAATTTTAGGTAATGGTTGGTCTTTTAATTGGTGGTGTTTGTGGGTCGTGGAGGCTTACAATTGCATTGGATTATTGGTCAGTTGGCATTCCTCCACTGAGTATTGTGTTCAAGTTCTGATGAAGGTGCCCCTGTTTCTGGTCGTGTGGCTACTGTGAACAGTAGCTAGGTTTTTCCGAAAAAAAAGAAGAAGAAAAAACAGAACAGGAGCTACATTATCCAATGCAGCGATGACCACTATCCAGTAGCTACAGTACCTCGGAATATTCAGTCCTCTCTTACGAAAGTGGTAACTCTTCAACATTGACTCGATGGTTATATGATTTTTCCATGAATTGTCATGACTAGTTGTGATTCGATTGAACCCTCATATTGGTGATTACGTTTGGCTGATTGTGTTTTGGAGACTGTTATTGGAGTTGAATACTTAGTTGTTGTGACATTGTTTGTGGGTTCAATCATATATTTAGCTTATTAATGGCTACTGCTGCATCCTCCGTTGGATTACCACATTTACAATTGACTTCAGTCAAGTTGGATGGTACCAATTATGCATCCTGGTCTAAATCTATTGAGGTTTACCTTACTGCTACCAAACAACTGGATTATCTTACGTTTGAGGCCCCATCAGATCATAGTAAGGTTGCTGATTGGATTGCTGGTGATGCCTTGATACGTACATTGTTATGGAATAGTATGGACTCGAAGATTAGTCCTCATTTTATTCAATGTAACACAGCTAATGAGGTTTAGGATAAATGTACCTTACTGTATTCTGGACAAAATAACATGACACGAGTTTGTGATACATGGGAGGCACTCTTTGATCTTAAGCGTGGAGATCAGTCATTATCTGAATATTATGCTCGTTTCACGACTTTATGTAGATAGTTGGACACTTATCTTCCAGCTTCATACAATGCCGCCACTCTTACCAAAAGACAAGAGGATCTTCGGGTAATACTATTTCTCAAGGCTTTGGGACCTGAATATTCTTCATTACATCAACAAATTACTTCTCAGAGCTCTCTTCCTACAGCAGATGAGGTTTTCTCTCGGGCTCTTCGTTCGACGCCTACTGAGAAGATTTCAACCTCAGCTTTGGAGACCAGTGCTATGGTTTCTCATGGCACTATTGGACGTGGAACTCGAGGTCGCGGTTATAGGGGTCGTGGACGAGGTTTTGCTATGACTGGTGGTCGTGGTGGTCGTGATGGTAGTCGTGGTGGTCATGGTGGTCGTGATGGTAGTATTGGTGGTCGTGGCTCTCGCTATTGCACCCATTGTCAGAGAACAGGCCATATAGAGGCTTATTGTTACAATCTTCATCCTGAGCTCCGATCTACTGTTGCTGCATATGTTGATTCTCCAGCATTAGCATCACTAGAACCTCCCACTATGCATGGTACAGGTGATACCATCACATTGTCGCGAGCTGAATATGATGCATAAGTTCGCTCTCAATAGGTGACAGGCTCTTCAGCTCCCACTGCAATTCTGGCACAGACTTCCCAAGGTAGTTCATCTTGTTTAATGTCTACATTGTCAGACTCCTGGGTCATAGACTCTGGAGCCACTCATCATATTATGAGTAACCCTAAGCTACTATCTTCTTTTCATTCTACATCTTCTGGTGTGTCTAATTCTGTTACATTAGCCGATGGTTCCCAATCTCATGTTAATGGTACTGGAGTTGCTCAATTAAGTCCTTCTCTCTCTCTCTCTGTCATCTGTCTTACACCTCAAATCTCCATATAATATGATTTTTGTTAGCTCATTGACCAAGGAACCGAATTGTTCAGTAACCTTCTCCGCGTCTCGTTGTGTTTTTCAGGATCTGAGGGCTGGACAGATGATTGGCGGGGGACATGAATCAAATGGCCTGTACTATCTTGATAAACAGATGGTTGCTGCTGCAGTTGGAAAGCGAACATTATCTGATGTGTATCGCGTGCATTGTCGAGCTGGTCATCCACCACCGAACATTCTTCGACGTTTATTTCCAAAGTCTATGTCTGTGAGTTCATTTCAATGTGAAGCTTGTCAGTTCGGTAAACATCATAGGGCATCTTTTCCTTCTCGTTTTCAGAGTCGTGTTTCTAGTCCATTTGAGTTAGTTCACTCAGATGTGTGGGGTCCGTGTCGTATTTCTGATACTTTTGGTTTCAGATACTTTGTTACATTCGTGGATGATTTTTCCCGAATGACTTGGTTATTTTTAATAAAAGATTGTACTGAGATTTTTCATTGCTTTCGCCTATTCTATTATGAAGTATTGAATCAGTATAATATTTCTGTTAAAACTTTACGATCAGATAATGCAAAAGAATATCTTGCCTCACTACTGGTTTTAAATCTTTCCTTGATTCTCATGGTATTATTCATCAAACATCATATTCATACACTCCATAGCAAAATGGTGCAGCCGAACGTAAAAATCGTCATCTCCTTGATGTTGCTCGATGTCTTATGTTTCATATGCATCTCCCTAAACATTTTTGGGGTCATGCTGTACTTACAGCTTGTTACTTAATTAATCGCCTTCCAACTTCTGTTCTTTAAGGGGAGACGCCATTTTCTATCTTACATCCGGATCATCGCCCCTTTGCATTACCTTTGCGTGTCTTTGGTTGTGTTTGCTTTGTTCATTGTCTTACTCCTGGCTTAGATAAGTTAGATTCTCGTGTCGAGAAATGTGTCTTTATAGGATATTCTCGTACTCAAAAGGGCTATAAATGTTATAGTCCTACTCGTCGTCGTCTTTTTGTGTCAGCTGATGTAACTTTCTTTGAGGATCAGGCTTATTATGATACTAAGTCTGTACCTGCGGTGGCTACTGAGTAGGGATGTGCAAAGGAACCGGAAATCGCCCGGAACCGGACCGGACCGGCCCGGAACCGACGGTTCCCATGAGGACCGGTCCGGTTCCCGAATCTAATTTACTAGAACCGGTGAGTACCGGTCCGGTTTCCGATTCTAGGCATAGAACCACCCACCCGCTCACCCAGACCGGACCGGTAATATAGAAATACATATATATAATTTTTTAGAAAAATTTCAACTCAAAAAAAAGAAAAGAAAACATTTTTAGAAAAATGAAAACCATAAAATCCATAATCTAAAGCTCGACTCTCAACTCTCATCAACTCACGGCCACGCCTTTAGCCATTCATCGCCTCCCTCTCTCACGGTCACCTTCATTTGTGTGAAACTTAGTGGGACCGGTTTCATAGATCCATCCGAGAACCGGACCGGACCGGCGGTTCGGTTCTCGGGTGGATCCATGGAACCAACGGGCGGTTCCCGATTCCAATTTTTTGAAACCGGTCCTTAGTGGACTGTTTCCGATTTCATGTCGGGAACCGCCTGCCCGGACCACGCTCACCCCTACTTCTGAGGGTAGTGAGTGTGTCCTCCCTGCACTTCCTCCACTCTCTGTACCTCCAGCACCATCAACAGGATTTCAGTTTGCCGAGCACGCATATCATCGGCGTAATGCAGTTCCTACCACGATGGTACAGGTCCCACAGACATGTGATTCATCTGATCAACCCATTGCTCTTCGAAAAGGTACAAGATCTTGTGTTGGTCGTCCTAGGGATTGCTATGCTCACTATTCTGATCTTTCTTCTTGTCTTCGTACTCATCATCCCATGTCCAATTTCATATCATATGATCGTTTGTCTCCTACCTTTTCTACCTTTGTCTCTTCTTTGTCCTCTATCTCTGTGCCTAGTAGTGTTGCTGAAGCTCTTGCTCATCCTAGATGGCGGCACGCCATGGAAGATGAAATGAAGGCACTTCTTAAGAATCGTACTTGGCAACTCACACCCTTACCTAATGGGAACAACCTGTTGGCTGTCGTTGGGTTTTTATTGTTAAGATTCACCCTGATGGTACCCTTGATCGATTGAAAGCTAGGTTGATTGCCAAAGGATATACTCAAGCATATGGTATATATTATGATGATACTTTTTCACCTGTTGCCAAAATTCCATCTGTTCGTGTTTTATATCCCTAGCAGCATACTTTGGCTGGCATCTTCATCAATTGGACATCAAAAAATGCCTTTTTACATGGCGATTTAGCTGAAGAAGTTTATATGGAGCAACCACCTGGGTTTGTTGCTCAGGGAGAGAATCTGGTATGTCGTTTACATAAGGCCTTATATGGACTTAAACAATCTCCTCGTGCTTGGTTTGGTAAGTTCATTGATGATGCAGTTACCAAGTTTGGGTTAAAACAGTGTCAAGTCGATCATTCAGTATTTAGTTCCGTATCCTCAGCTAGTTGTGTACTTCTAGTGGTATATGCGGATGATATTATTATCACCGGTAGTAATTCAGATGGTATCTAATGACTTAAACAGTTTCTACATACAGAATTCGATACTAAAGATCTAGGACGTTTACGATATTTTCTTGGGATTGAAGTTGCCTATTCACAGGCAGGTATCAATTTACCGCAACGAAAATACGTAATTGATATTCTTAATGAGGTTGGATTTCTTGGAGCAAAAGCAGTTGATACACCTATGGAGCCTAATGTGAAGCTTGATACATAACATGGAGAACTGTTACATGATCCAGTGAAATATCGAAGGTTAGTGGGTAAATTGAACTATCTCACTGTCACAAGACCTGATATATCCTTTGCCGTCAGTGTAGTGAGTCAGTTTATGAGTTCTCCTCGCACTATTCACTGGGATGTTGTACTGCGAATTATTAAGTACTTGAAGGGAACACCAGGTAAAGGATTACTTTTTAAGAATCATGGTCATCTGAACACTACAGGATACTCTGATGCAGACTGGGCTGGATGCCCTACTAATAGAAGATCTACATCAGGGTATTGCGTATTTCTTGGTGGCAATTTAGTTGCCTGGAAAAGTGAGAAACATGTGGTTTCTCGATCAAGTGCTGAAGCAGAATATAGAGCTATGGCACATGTGGCAGGTGAATTGCTCTGGTTAAGGATGTTATTATCAGAAATTGGTGTGTCAACATTAGATCCATCAACATTATATTGCGATAATCAATCATCTATCCATATTGCGAACAATCCTGTTTTCCATGAGCGAACCAAACATATTGAGGTTTTTTTTTTTTTTTGGTCAACAAACATATTGAGGTTGACTGTCACTTTATACGAGAGAAGGTCCAGAAAGGGGAAATCACTTTTCAACATGAAAGGACAGAAGATCAACTAGCGGATATTTTTACTAAATCTCTACGGGGGAATAGAGTGAGTTTTTTGTGTAACAAGTTGGGACTATTTGATATATACGTCCCAACTTGAGGGGGAGTGTTAGAAATATGATAAGGAAGGTAGAATTGTAATATTGTGTTTAGAGGGTTTTACGTTATGTTAAGCATATATATTGTAATTCCTTCATTGAAAAACATAATAGAAACAATTCATTATCCTCTCAAACAACGTGCAAACATAAGCGAGCCCCATCAAGTGCACATAGAAACACATGTCTACAGATGCACATTCAACAGTCACATAGTCATGGAAGGACAAATCCTCGAACCGACATTGGATCATATATATCAACGGCATCAAGTATACATTTGAATGGTTTATTATACATATGCACCTGGAGACAGCACCCAATTCGGATAGAGTCAGAGAACAAAAATTCTTCATTTTACTTTTTGCAGTTTCTTCTTCGGTTGAATCATGGACACAGGATGAGATTATTACATAGCTAAAGGGTTTCTAGCTACCTAATTTGAAAGCGTCCACAAAGAGGCCTAAACAAACGCCAGATTTCCAGTAATTCATCATCGTAACAAAGGACTGAAGTCTTCTGCTAGAAAGAGAAGGGGGTTTTCGATACACAAGCATACCAATCCCCTCAATAGCTGCAACCACGACACCGGCAACAAGCACATCCCAGTCACCTGTCTGCCCAAGAATTGTTGCCAATGCATTTGCTGTATAGAAACCCAACAGAAGAAGAAATATCTTCATGGGGAAATTCCTTCTAGCCGAGTTCAGCTTTTGCAGAAGTTGTCTGCCCCCAGCGCTCACTATCCTGCCCAATCGAGTACGACTGAGATCTGCATCATCACCGTTGAGGCCCTCTTGCTCGCCATTACCAGGAATCCCGCCCGTATTCAGGGCAAAGGCTATGTTCCAGCCATGTCTTCTCATCTGAGAACTATCCGATGTAAAGAAAATGACTGGCTTGTTCAAAATCATACGAAGAGACTCATAAAAGTGAACCACATAGACAGATCACACCTTAAGCATACAAAACAAAAGGACTTGATCCAAATCCAAGAAGTTTTTTCACCTATAAGAGCAGCCATGTAACATCTCTGTAACCAACACTAGATTACCACTATCAAAATCCAAAAAGTTTTCACTTACTTTATAAATTTGACAAAAAGGCATTGACAATTAGGTTAATATGATTGACTTATGTAGCTATATACAATTAAACAAACTACGTAAGATTGAGTTGCCATTCTATATAAAAAACAGATGGTACAGCTCAAAGTCTAAGTTAAGAAAACAGGAGATTATCTGGCACAATTGACTAGAGATCATGAGTGCAGTGAATTTGGCACAAGAAGGTTGAAAGAAAATTTGACCACCATTAGATCACAATTAAGCTGGGCTACAAGAATATGAGCAGAAGATCTCCATGCTAGAAGCAACTCCACTGGCTGAGAGGTTATTTTTATCGGTTACCGTTGACAGTGACAAATGCCATCCCATCCCAATCCAACCCAAACACAACACATCACAATTTTCACATACTAAAATGAAGAACACGAACAATGGTCTAAAAGTACCTGTTCCAACCAAAAGATGCAGACCTTAACCGAAAGAAAACTCGACCCTCAATGCAGGATTCCATTCTCGAGTTTGAAACCATACGAGGGGCGAGGACCATGCAAGAACTTCCGGAGGCTTCATTTTCCGGCAGCGGCAGACTCAATTGCATTACCATGGCTCCAGATTGGCACGCCATGAGCTGCAAAGCCAGGACCTTGCCAAAAAAGATCGACAAACACCATCGTCAGACACCGACTTAACCCGAGATGATTGCCCCCGTTTAAACTACCCACATGGCAAACAAGTCTAATTGAATTTGGGTAGCTTCAGTCTCGACAGTTCTTGATAATCTAACTCTCAAATGTTACACCCATCACTTAGGATAAAAAAAAAAAAACCAAGAAGCCACGGAACTTATGTATACACTAAAAGAACCTTCATTGCAATGTCAAAAGGAATGGCTGGCACATGTTCAGATCAGAGAAACAATTCGGAAACGATGGGAAGGTGAAGGTACCGGGTACTTACTTGTGAAGCAGAGCTTGTGCCCGATGTCAAGAATCTCTGAGAGTGTCGCTTTTCTGGTCTTATCTGGAGCAGCAGCGACAAGGAGGGAATCGCAGCCGCTGTCTCACTCTCGCATTTGCGAACGCGTGGACTGCCCACTATACCTCGGACATTGAAGGTCCGAGGTGAAGGTCGAGAGAGAGAGAGAGAGAGAGGGAGAAGATGGCGGCGATCAGCGGCTGCTCCCACCTTCCATGGCCGGACGCCTCTCTCTCTCTCTCTCTCCCTCTCTCTCTGTGTTCCTCAATTCGAGAGGGAAGCAACAGGGACGGACGGCTGATGACAACCTGCGATTCTTATCAGCAGGAGGAGTGAAATGTCAACACTACCCTCGGTCGGCCATGTTCTTTTTTTATTTTATTTTATTTACACTATTGCCATATTACAAGTTTATTGCCGTCTAAAAATGGAAAAATGACACAAGTAATCCCTAAACTTTAATATCATATGCAATATAGTCGTTGAATTTTTAATTTATTTAATATGATCCCTAAACTGTAGTTTAACGGGTAATGTTGCCCTTGAACTTTTAATTTGTTCAATGTGATTTCTAGACTTTTGGGACATGTTTAATGTAAGCCTTGAACTATATGAAAATTTTCAATGTTGTCCATGAATTTGAATTAATGGAAGGATAATGTTGAAATTTTAATATAGTTCAAGGACTACATTGAACATATCCCAAAAGTCCAATCACCACATTGAACAAATAAAAAGTTTGTGCATTGGGCTAATGTTCGGGGACCGCATTGAACAAATTAAAAGTTGAGGGACTATATTGTACATTGACCCAATGTCCATAGACCATTTATGTCACTATCCCTATAAAAATCTCAAATCAATAACCAATTGCCCAAGTGAATTTTCGTTTTACAAAAAATTATAAATCGATAGACCACGAAATATTTATTCGAAACTATTTTTCATCTTTGAAAAACTCCAAAATGGTATCCTTAACCCAAATTTATACTTCACACTAGATCTTGAATTGCGAAGGGAGGGAAGATTTGGGTCAAGGTATCAGTTTGGGATTTTTCGTGAGATGAAAATTAATTTGAAGTAAGTGTGTCATAAAGTACTAGTTTGAAATTTTTATATAGTGAAATCATAATTTCCTTTTTCCATTTTATTCCCCGATTTCATTTCACTACGTTGTATGAAACACGAAATACTTCCTAAGATGCAAACACGAATAAGCACTCGGAATGATTTCCTTTGTATAATAAAACATCCTTTTGTAGTTAAAAGTTGATTTTCATGTAACGTTGAGAAATTTGAAAATGTTATCCAGAGATTATTCTTATAATTGTAAAACTCAAACGGTCCTTAAATTTTGACGTAATATGCAATGCAGTCCCTCAATTTATAATCTGTTCAATGTGATTCTTGAACTTTAACCCAATATATAATGTGCTCCTTGAAATTTTAATTTGTTCAATATAGTTAATCTAGTCTCTGAATTATATAAAACTGTTCAATATTTTCCTTCCATTAATTCAAGATCAGGGACAACATTAAATATTTTCACATAGTATAAGGACTACATTGAACATGTACCAAAAGTTTAGGGACCGCATTGAACAAATTAAAAGTTCAGGGATGACATTGCACATCGAGTCAAAGTTCAGAGGCCACACTGAATAAATTAAAAGTTCGTATATCACACTGTATATCGAGCTAAAATTCACGGATCACTTGTGTCATTTTCCTCACAAAATACTTCCCCTTTTGAATTTTCACATCTCATTTGGAGGGAGGGAAGAGAGGCAGCGAGGGGCATAATAGTCATTCCACCTTCCATTGAAGCCGAGCTCCTTCTCGTTTTGCGGGTACAAGGGAGGCTCGGCCGCGCGCGGGCGATGCTGTTCTGCTTTCCATTTCAATTTTTTTCAGCGGAAGATCGGAGCTTGTCCTCGATTGCTCTCCTCTGCTGTTTTCGGCGCTCGATTTCGACGGCGATCTTCGCGATTCTCTCGAATTCCACCTCCGGATCGACCTCCCCTCCCCCTCTCGGATGAACTGAACCGGCAATGGCGGATTCCGCGACGACGGCGGCGGCGGCGGCGGCGGCGCCGTCCACTCCCCGCTGGAACGTCGAGAGGCCTTTCCTCACGGGCCGCTTCCACCAGGTGATGTTTCTCTCGGTAGCTTCTCGCCGATGAGTCTTGAGGCGATGCCTAGTGTGCTCAACTTCGTTCGATTTCGCGGTGTCTGTTTTCAGGAAGTGAAGGGGACGTCCCGCCTCGCCCTCGATTCGCTCAGGTACGTTAGCTCCCGCGGCGCGGGGATGCTTGTTTTCGAGGCTTTTGACTTGATTGCGCGTGTTGTGTCCGTTGATTTGTGGATTTTTTTTGCAAATTTCGATGGAACGCGAACCAGTGGCGGATCGGACAGGGCAATCGGCTGCTACGAAGCTGCAGTTCAGGTATGGCACAGTGCCCATCAACATGGACTCCCTTCCTATAATGGTCGTAGGCCTTCATTTTCGGGGTCCGTGCTTTTTCCATCGACTTCGAACTTTTTCAGCGTTTGTTTAGATAATGACGCGAATTATAGATACTTCATGGCCTCCTTATAGAAACTGAGATGTGAACTACTTAGCTAAATGCATTACAGACTCCTTCGTTGGTGCGTTTAGCGTCCTAGATTTGACTCCATCAGTTTCGACTTCTTCTGGAAGGAGTATTAATTAGATGGGTAGTAGTAAATGTTGTGTTCTCTTGACTGACTGGAAAAGCACGTCTCTTGAGACCCTGACGGTCGGAACTTCCTTGTTCATTTCACGATAGGAACTTATCGTTGTCGATGATCTTCTCTCTGCTTTGGTTGGTGTGGAAGGACGGTATATATCCATTACGAGATTACGCGGAAAGGAAGACGCTATTTCCTTCCACGTAGATGCATCGATGGACTTAGCACTTCAGGTAACATGCTATGGAATTTTTCCTCTCTTTCTATATCTGACTTCTGAACTTCCGTGATGCAGCCTTCTGTATGTTGTTCTTTCCTAATTTGTTCAATGTATGGTTGCTAGTACTGACTATGTTGACGGCATGGTTGTTGGGAAAACAATGTTTTACTCCGAGCAGGGGGATAATACTTGGAAAATTGGTGGATCTATTATCATAGTTAGTGCTGTCCTGAGTCAAATTTCTAGGTGCCAAGTCATTGGCTACGAAGTGTCTATGCTTGTGCACCTTGAGGATAGGATGACTGTCAACAATTTGAAGTCAAGAAGTGCTGGGATCTTCATTGATTCATTGGCACACTTAACCTGGTTCAGGATTTAAGCAAATGTCAACAGATCAGGCGGTGTTGGGGTTTGGCATTCAGGCTTTCCCAGGCTCACTCCTAAAAATTGATCGACTATTTAAAGTTAAGAACGCATCTCACACGTGCTTAAATTTTGTTTCACTCACAAAAATTGGACTGCTTAAATTTCGCAAAGTCATTCAACTATTAGGAATGTAACCAAGCAAATTGCATTTAAGATACTTGATGTTGGCTTTATAATTGGCATAGTTGTCAGATGAGCTAACCAGGCATTTCGCTGTCAGGAAATGGCTAAAAGGATTTTTCCCTTGTGTCAAAGTTTTCTTCTCATTAGCCATTTTGTGGAGTCAAGGTCCCAGTTCAAGAATGGCCTTGTCAATCATGCCTTTGCGGCAGCCCTCAGAGAGCTGCTTCTGGTAAGTTTTGCATGTTTGAATGCATTCAGCTTCTATATATGCTCATCATGTCATTTATGATGGAAATGTAGAAAGATCTGCTCATATCTTTATTATTACCTCTATTAATAGTTTGTAGGCTGTGTACGGGAGTAAAATCTTTTCCTTAGCTGGATGGGCGAGTGAGTGTGTGTGCGGGCGGGTGGGCATGCGCTCACGCTTGAGAGAGAGAGAGAGATTTCACTTTGGGGCTTTGCTGGGATGTACTATTTTCTAATTGAGATGTTGTTTTTCTTTACCAAAAGCATGAGGAGGAAATATCACATTTATACTTGGAAGGCGGTGAACGTATCTTACTATATCTTCATGTCTAAGTGATGCCTTCATAATACACATTCACTTAGGAAAAATTAACAGCTCCATTGACTTTGAATTCCTGAAGACTGATGCTAAGAATGAACAGTGACAAGCGGGTCAAATCTGTTGGATAATTGCAGAAAAGAAGACGTCAGATCGTTGAAAGTTCAGAGCAATCAATTAAGCTTGCTTGTTAGTGTACGTAATGCTGTCCAATTTTTTATATGCCAGAAGGGTCAAAATTATATGGTCATGATGCAACTAAAAGTTGGTGAATTTATGAAGAGTTCCTAAATGACCAGAGAGTTATAGTTGCGAAGTGTTGCCATTCAAGAAGATCTCTTACCAACTAATATTGCCTCTTCATTACTCTCATCAGGGTTTTGAGGCGAAGGTGGCGCAGCTCGAACACCAATTTCGACTTGGAAGACTTTCCATTCAAGGGCTGTGGTTTTATTGTCAGGTATGTGTATCTCTTAACTCTATGAACACCTGTTAGGGATTTTGCTTGAAGGTTGTTCCATGTTTGCTCCAGCCTATGATGGGGTCCATGCAAGCTTTGTCAGTGGTGATTCAGAAGGTTTCATCCAATAATTTTGTGGGTTCTGCAGTACTTAACCTCTTACAGAGTCAGGTCAGCCTTAAATTAAGCTACACATATAGACAAATATCTCCTCTTTAAAAGATATCTGCATCAGGCAGTGTAGTTTTCGTCATCATTCACTCACATGTGATATTTTTACTGGGTTGCTAATGGAGCTTCCCCTTTATCCAGGCTAAGGTCATGGCTGGCGATAATGTTGTGAGGTCCTTACTGGAAAAGATGATCCAGCAGGCAAGCAACGCGTATCTGAGTATATTAGAAAGGTGAATACAAGTTGGAAATCAAAAAATCTGTTTTCAAATATTAATCCTTGTTAAGTATCTTATCCCTTTATGGAACCGATTCAAAATTCAGAATTGGACTTTATTCTGGTTATGATTGAGTTTTTTTTTTAATGTCTGGGTATGATTGGGGTTAGTATCATTCCATCGGATGGCAGGGATTCAGCATTGAAAGTATATTTTTATGGAGAAATCTTCTGATTATTCTAATATCATAACTAGAATATTTGAAAATCATTACATGCATCCGTCCTCTTCTTGATTAAATTTAATGGTCTGCCTCCTTTTTTGCTGGTGCTTCTGGTGGTTTTACTTTAAAAAGATGA